AATATTCAGGGTTGATCTCCCTTAAGACTGACTGGTTTGATCTCCTTGCTGTCTAAGGGACTCTCAGGAGTCTTCTCCAGCAGCAGTTCAAAAGCATCAATTCTTTGGCATTCTGCTTTCTGAGAAAATGTCCTAATAGTTAATTCCTGGAGACCATCAACACAGACTTTTAGTCTCTGCTTTTTTGTTTTGTTTTGTAGAAGGTTAAAATTGTAAAAGGTAGAGGAAGAACCTGAGTTGAAATAATCACTAGATTAAAGATAGGACAGAAGAGATTAGACCACAATGCCTTCCACCCCCAAGGAGATTATGCTATAAGTCATAGGATTCCTCTCTCTGCCCCTCCCTGCCTTCCCCACCAACCATCCTTAGCCTAGAAGACACCATATTACACTCGCTGGTGACTGGGTTAGGGGGTAGGATGTTAACATTACTAGTAATTTGCTTCTAACTCAGTTCAGTTCACTTGCTCAGTTGTGTCCGACTGTTTGCGACTCCATGGACTGCAGCATGCCAGGCTTCTCTGTCCATTACCAACTCCCGGAGCTTGCTCAAATTCATGTCCATCCAGTCAGCGGTACCATCCAATCATCTCATCCTCTATCGCCCCCTTCTCCTCCTGCCTTCAATCTTTCTCAGCATCAGGGTCTTTTCCAATGACTAAGTTCTTCACATCAGGTGACCAAAATATTGGAGTTTCAGCTTCAGCATCAGTCCTTCCAACTGGGGAAGGCCAAAGTCTTGAGGCATGGATCCATTGTGAAAGCCCGATTAGAGATGGACCAGCAGTTGGATCTCAAGGGGTCTCACTGAATCTACTGCAAAACGCCTACATTTCCATGTGCCAGAGTAGCTATTCCTAGCCCTCTCAGAGGAGCTGGGGCAGCTGTGACCACTCAGCCCTGGTGAGAGTGGGATACACATGATGGAAGAAGCAAGCAGTAGCTGGTGCACTTTTCGATCTGGGTGGGGATGTTTGCTGAGACGTGTTTGTCACAGTGAACCGGCTGAGGTTCCAGCTGACTTTTGTGCCTACCTTGGATGTCCCTAGAGCCTAGCGGCCCTTTCTGTGTCTGCCGGGCCTGGGCTAGTCTGGGTAGGACCTGCAAAAACTTTCCAAGGACAGGGGCCCAATCTCTTCACCAGACTGAGGGCCCCGCCTCTCTTAGCATTAGGTGGCTCTCCTACTTCCTTCTCCACCCCTTCATTATCATGTTTGCATGCAGTGGGTCCCTCATCCCTCACACACTGGCTCTGGCATAAGACTGGCTCCGTTCTACTCCGGCTCTAGCATTTACTAGCTGAGTTACTTTCGGTAAGTTAACGTCTACAATGGACATAATTATAGTACTCCAGTTATCAAAGATTATGTACAATAAAAGAGACAAAATGCACATAAAACATTTAGCACAGTCCTTGGCAACTGTCAGGTCTTAATAAATGTGAACTGAGATCACAGTTGTCCCCTCCTTCTCCCCATTTTCCTTGTTTTGCATCAGTGATCTTCCTCTTTGGATTTACAAGTCCCAGGAATAAGAATTCTTATCCTTTCCCTGTCTCTCTGTAGAAACAGAATGCATTATTGGGATGAAAGTAGGTAGATGCTGTCTATTCACAATCCCCATGCCCCGCCCTCACCCAGGTGAGTTACAGGACCCAGGTGTACAGCACAAACAACTGGCAATTTTTGTGGCCTTTCTGGTTTGGTCCAGCCTGGTGTCGCAGCTGCCAGTATCCACATTTCCACCACAGCCTCTTTTCTGCGGGTGGATCCAGTGACTCACGAAATAAGTGGGCCTGCTTCGGACTCCTGGGACCCCTTGACATCAGCCCAGGGTGCACAGCTGGGAGGCAGCTGCTTCAGACTCCCAGAGCCCGTGGGATCTGAAGGGCCCCTAGCTCGCAAAGGTCCTGCTTTCTTTTTGTTTAGTTTCCATTTGAGCTCCAGGTCCGGTTCCAACTCCTGGGAAGGGCACGTCTGCCACCTGCTGGCCATGGGCAGTGCAGCACCCAGCTGTTCCTCAGGCTCCAGTTTGCAGTTAAAATGTGGGGCTCTGGCCTGGCGGAAGTCCTGCAGGTCTGGATGAAAGCCTGTAGAGAGGGACAGCCTTGGCCTCCAGAATGCTTCATGGAGAGATGGAGAGACAGACAAAGGACTGGACCAAGCCTGAGCTGACTGGCTGTGACGAGGATAAGATTGAAGGAGGGGGTAACATTTGTTCTCAGGGTCCCCTCATTCCTCTTCTCTTCTACCCAAGCCCAGAGGTATATCAACGTCAGACACTCCCCAGGTCCAGAAACACCCTGAGACCTGAACCTGCCCTTCCTCTGCCAACTTGCCCTCACCTCTCTGAAACAGGCACACTACAGGCAGCAAATGACCTCTCTCTTTCTCTGTATCCTTTCTCCTCCCCAACTTTTTATTTTATAATTTGTCAAACCTCTAGAAAAGTGGAAAGAATAATACAGTGAATACTGTTCACCCAGACAGATGCAACACCGATCATTTGCCATAGTTGCTTTCTGCCCTGATCTTATGTACATACGTTTGATTTGGTTGGTTGGTTGGTTAGTTGGTTGGTTTGCTGAATCTTTTGCAACTAAATTACAGCCATCCAACTCCCTGCCTCAGGACCTTCTTAGAACAAAGACATTTTCCTATAAAACCACACTTCCATTATCACACTCAAGAAATTCAACATTGACACAATAATACTGTCTAACCTAGGTCTATATTCAAATTTCCCAATAGTCCCAATGATATCCTTCAGGGCTTTTTTTTTTAAAAAAAAATCTAGGATCCAATCAAGGATCCTTCACTGCATTTAGTTGTCAGGTCTCTCTAGTCTCATTTAATGAGTAACAATCTTCCCAGCTGTTTCCTCTTTTATGACATTGGCAGACTTGCAGAGTTGAGGCTAGCTGTTTTGCAGAAAGCCCACGGTTTGTGTGCGTCGTGTTCTTCATGAGCAGATTCAGGATAAGCATTTTTGTCTAGACGGTTGTGCCCTTCGTACACCATGTCGGAATGCATTCTTTCCTCTTACCATTTTACCTAAAAATGACTGAAGGGGCTACAGTGAAACAGAAAACTAAAGCTTCTGCTGGGGGTAGGGAAAGCAAATACACCAAACTGCCTAGACTGGGTACCAGGAAAATGCATCACGCTGACAGCAGCTTCCTGGCCACTGAGAACCAAACGGAAGCCTGTCAGAAGATGGAACTTCTGTTTTCTAAGTCAGAGGTCAGCAAACCTTGCCTTCAAAGTTCCAGACAGGAAATATTTGGGACTATACTGTCTCTGTCACAACTGTCCTACTGTCCTACCATTATAGCATCGAAGCAGTTAGAGTCAGTATATAAGCAGGTGGGCGTGGCCATGTTCCAATAAAACTTTATTGGCACAAACACAATCTGGCTTCAGCCTAAGGGCTGGTTTTTGTTTGTTTGTTTGTTTTGGCTGATCTCTGATTTAACTGGAAGAAAATATTCCACCTATTAAATAAATAACACTTTCTCTTTTTTTCTGATGTACTGAATTTTAAAAACAAAGGGGACAACAGAGGATGAGATGGTTGGATGGCATCACAGACTCAACGAACATGAGTTTGAGCAAGCTTCAGGAGTTGGTGATGGACAGGGAAGCCTGGCATGTTGCAGTTCATGGGGTCACAAAGAGTCGGATATGACTGAGGGACTGAACTGACTGACTGCATTTTAAAAACAAAGTAAACACTGTTTCTCCCATTATCTATTTTTTCAGCAAAACTATGTTGAGGCATGCCATAAATGCCAAACCCTGTGCTGGATAATGGCTAAATACATCAGTGGTGAAACAGAAAGAGCCTTGATTTTCTAGAGAATCAGAGTTTGATGTGAGCAACAGAAAACATGTAAATAAATACATATAAAATTCTAAGCTGTAATGGGGACTGTGGAGGAAATGAATGGGTGCAGAGACAAAACTCCGGGGGTGTGTCATACTGATGGGGGAGGTGGGGAAGATGCAGAGAAGATGACATTGAGGCTGACACGGTGCAAGGGAGGAATGGTGTGGCAAGCTATCTAGGCGGAAGGATCAACAAGTGCAAAAGCCCCAGGGAGGGAGGAGCTTGGCTGGTGCCAGTTTGAACCCAGGTCTGGTTGGAGCATCAGGAGAGAAACAACATTTGGAGAAAAGGGTCTGGGATGAGGTTCATAGGTCATGGCAGGTGTTTCTATTTTGTCCCAGGAACAATGAGGAGCAACTGGGGAGTTTAAGCATCTGTCCATCTCCAACCTTAAAGAGCTGTTGTGTGATAATCGCTCAGTTGTGTCCAACTCTTTACAACCCCATGGCCTGTAGCCCACCAGGCTCTTCTGTCCTTGGGATTTCCCAGGCAGGAATACTGGAGTGGGTTGCCATCCCCTTCTCCAGGGGATCCTCCTGACCCAGGGATTGAATCTAGGTCTCCTGCATTGCAGGCAGACTCTTTACCCTCTGAGCCACCAGAGAAGTCTAAGGCAATCACCTAGGCATGGGCCTGAATGTGAATCCTATCACAGCTGTGTGACCTCTGAAACTCAGTTTTCTCCTCTGTGAAAAGGCTAATAAAAGCCTCTTCATAGGGTTGTTGTAAGAGTTAAATGCAGCAGTGGATAGTCAGGTAGAGGAGACACGCAATACATGGTGATCACGGTAACCGAGAAGATGGTCAGTACCTGGGCAGCCAGGTTCCAACACAGGAACAGGTAAGTGCAAGCGCTCTGCATCCATACTGGGGAGAAGGAGTGATGTTTTGGATGCTCAGCCAGCACAGGAAGAGTGGGGAACATGGTCAGATAGGCCCTACCACTCTCCAATCCACACCCCCACGCCCCCAGGCATCAGAAAGTATCTAGTGCTGCTATGCCCTGGCTATGACTCCAAAACAGCCCTTGGGCTCACAGGAGCTCGGGAGAGAGCCCAGCCAGCTCAGAGAACTCACCCTTGCTCCCCTCTGTGTGATTTTCTTTTTCAGTTCTCCCTGCTGTCTTTTCTCACAGACCCGGACCCAGGTGAGTGTGCAGACTACCCTGGGGCTGCCCGCCCCACAGGCTAGTTCTGGGATAAGAAAGGGGGCCCTTCGTGTGAGTGTGGGTGTGACCCCAGGGTTCCAGTGTTTCGGAAGTGGCTTGGACCCCTTTGAGGATTTCCCCAAAGAAATATACTCCCGGGCTTTTATGCGTCTACACACAGCATTTCACACAATTTTGAGTTGACTGATGTTCAGTCTCAGGACTCCAAGAGAAAAACTGCTGAAGTAGCTAAACCCCTTCACTTCACAGAGAAGGAAACAGGCTCAGAGAGGGGAAGCAACCTGCCCCAGTTCACACAGCCTATTAGTAGCTGAGATGAGACACTTTGCCTTGGCAAAGGGAGGATGTCTTGAGCAAGGGCTCCAGGCAGGCCAGCCCTGTGCTACCCCGCTCTCTCCACTCCTTCAGTGGGAGGCCAGCAACTCTCTGTGGAGAGGGTGGTGTCGTGTAAGCAGGCTCCAGGCTGGCCCATCCCTGCAGATGGACTCCCACCAGCAGCCCCGTGGGATGCTTCTCCCCCGAGTTTGTTTCCTCAATGCCCTTTCAGAAAAGCTCTCCTCTCACAGACACACCTGCCACCGCTCACCTTCTCCCCATCCTGTCTGCCCTGCCTGGTACCCTTGGCTGAGCAAAGCGGCTCCTTCCTGCCATCTGGTCCCCTCTGGATCTCTGTCTCCAGGTCTGAGACTCTTTTTGCTGCTCTGAGACCGAAGGGAGATAACTCCACTCACTACTTCACTGGGGGTGGGGGGTTAGAACACATCCCCCACTGGTATTGCCCCCATGTTGGTCACCTGCAGAGGACACAAGCCAGGCACAAGGAGACTACAGTCACGTCTCAGCTTTGGATCAAGGGTCTCTTTGGAGCAAAGATGGTGCTAACCAGGTCAAATTCAGCTTGACAATATTCTCTGGCAGCAAAGCCCTACATGGGCAGACAGACTTGTGTTGGCTCAAGGCAGGTGACCTTCTCCCACCCCATGTACTTGGGGAATGTTTGTGAAATTGGTACGAAATACACATGAGTGTGGCATGCGGGGGTTTGAAAGGATCCGGGTCTTTCCTCAAAGCACAAGAGAGTGTTGAATTCAGCAACATGTAATTCCTTGGAAGGATCCTATTTCAGGGAGGACTCCCTCAGATGGCCAGACCAGCAGTGTCCACATGTGGAATCCAGGGAAGATCCAAAGTCAAGAGATGGGATGAGCTGCCCCCACCCCAGCCTTCTGCACAAAACTGCTCAGGCACCACTGAATGGGCTGCTGTAGTCTGGGTGCCCAAGAAACGGAGCTGCAGAACTGTGGGGTTGCACAGAGGAAGAAAACAGGACGTTGAAGACTCAAGGGACCTCACTCTCTTCACGTATTTGAAAAGCTGCCCCATGCTTAGTCCATGAGGTAGCCTTTGTGGGAGTTAAGAGGGGTATTTACCTCAACACACTTTACTGCCACCTGCCAGAAAGTTGCAGAAGACTGGATTGTGCCGTGAACAGTGTAAAGAACATGGACTATATGCATGGTTTTGCTGAACAGACATCACAGAAAAGGGACTGGGGACATTCTATGCATCCACAAAGCTCTCAGTTTTAATTAAACAGATTGGGAACTATAGTGTCAGATTTGATCTGCGAATAGTAGATCATCAGAGTTCTCAAAAAAAATCTCAATGGGCTTTGGGGCTCTTGGAAAATAGGGCGTTCTCCATCCCTGGTGGTATTCAAGCACAGGCTGAAAAACCACTTAATGGACATGAATTTGAGCAAACTCCAGGAGACAGGGAAGGACAGGGAAGCCTGGCGTGCTGCAGTCCACGGGGTCTCAAAGAGTCGGCCACGACTCAGCGACTGAACAACAACAAAAATAGGGAGTGGAAAGAGTGGGGTTTAACACGCTGAGTTTCTGGGCTTTATAAGAACTCTGCCAATGGCTTCTGAGAGTTCAGTGAGTGGAAGAAGGGACCTTGGAGCAGGCCACCCACAGGTTCCCGAGTCCCTCTCAAGGCGTTCGGTCAGCCTGTGGCTGTGGGATGGGGTGAGATGTCGTGACTGGGCCTGTCTGCAAAGAACAGGTTAGGTTCTAAAGACTCCTCTGTTTGTGTCTGATTTAATTTCATCTGAGGGTTGTCCTTTGCTGGAATTTTGTCAGATTCCCCGCCGGCCTTAGACAATGGTGGGGCCAGAGATACACTGTGCTCGTGTCCACGGGCAAGCTGCTGCTATGGTTGATCCTGCGTGGTGAGGGCCTGGCTGGCACAGAAGGAGCCAGGACACAGTCCCCAATGGGTGGCAAAGGAGGTGGTCATCAAACCACATAGACTCTGCCCATCTCCCCAACGCAGGTGACGCGACAGCCCACAAGCCTATGGAAATGCCTCTTCAAAGCCAGCTAGACTGGGCCCAGCAACACAGGCTGAGCGCATCCATCAGCTGTCCTGCTGCCTGCCAGCAAGGGTCTCTGCTGGGCTTGCCCTGTCAGCCGGATTGGAAGCGTCAAATGCAGGCCGACAGGGCTGGGGTTTGGGGGCGGCCCTCGGAGGAACAGTTTGTGCCACAGTGATGGATGGTGCCAACAGGGACGGCATTTCAGGGATTTCTACTCTGTTCCACACATCTGGCGAGCTCTTTAACCCAAACAGCTGCAGAGCCCCACCCCAGGCACTCTGGAGTTTTTCTGTAGGGACCACGATAATCCCGGTCCAGGGACCTGGAGCACACGCCAAAGAAGATTTCCCAATGCGTGTTACTTCCTGGAAGCTAAAACCCATGGACTTTCAGGAAACACAAACCCTCAAGAGGCTCCTGGGCTCATAAAAAGCAAACTAGACTTGGAGTCAGGTAGACCGGGGTTCTGACATCATCTCTGCCCTAACTTTTCCTTTCCTGTAAAATAGAAATAAGAAGACCTATGCCATAGGGTTTTGTTTAGTTTTTTAAAGGTTAAACAGATTGTGTGAAACCACATTTATTTAGTATAGTCAGCAATACATAGAAAACAGTGAGTGTATAATAACCTCTTATTTGGATTTTTGGAGTTAAGGTACTCTTACCATTCTTCCTGATAAATTCTAAAAGCAGACTCTGATCATTAGACAAATCCACAAGGGGTTCTTTTTATACCTGATATGAAATGCTTCTGACAGCTGCCCCATTCTTCCCCCAAAGCTTTCTCCTTATTCTATAGACTAGAGAACGTTTCTGATAATCTGTATTTGAACCTGGAGTGATTTTTTTCAAAATCTACCAATGGAACCAAATTTCACATCAGGCTGCATGCAATCCCTCTCTCCCCAGGTAAGCCCTTGGACAAATTTCTATACTCCTGTCAAGCTCATCAGGCACTGTCTTCACCAAATATCGATCACCCAAATCTCACAGTTTCTTTCCTGAATTTTCTGTTTACTCTAAACCAGACAGACACCATCTTTGCTGGCAGAGCCGTGTGCCCACTGTGTGTGGCTGATCAGAAGGAAGGGAGGCTTGGGCACTGAGGGAAAGCTTGATCTATCAAATACATATGTCAGGGGCTCACAGGGCTCTGTGCTGTGCACTGTGGAGTAAAAAAGAGGAATGGACATGGCTCTTATTCTTAAGAAGCCAACTATGTAGCTGGAGGAAACAAATCAGATAGACTATGTTAAATACGAAATGCAAGAGATTTGCCCTCTGAGATTGAGCCATGCAACCCAAAGTCCTGCAACCAGCTGAGCCATTGAGGAGTTCTAGTGTCTAAAAGTTGTATCCCACCAGCAACCGAATATTAATCAAGCTGTGTGGGTCTGTTTGTTATTACTACATGATGTAGGCGACCCTTGAATGATTTGAGAGTCAGGGATGCTGACCCCAATATAGTCAAAAATCTACTTTGAGTCCCCCTCACCCCCAGCTTAACTTCCCCGGTGGCTCAGCAGTAAAGAATCTGCCTGCAATACTGGAGACGTGGGTTTGATCCCTGGGTCATAAAGACCCCCGGAGAAGGAAATGGTAACCCACTCCAGTATTCTTGCTTAGGAAATCCCATGGACAGAGGAGCCTATGGTCCCTGGGGTCGCAAAGAGTTGGATATGAGTGAGAGCGCGCGCGCACACACACACACACACACACACACACACTGCCTTGCTTAGCAGGACTATAATTCAACATCTATGTGTTTTACTCCCTCCTTAGCTTCACTGAGGGGTGAGCAGGCCTTGTAAATAGAGTTGGATTCAAGTCAAAACCCTCCAACAGACATTTCATCCATCCCTCGTCATCTGGAAAAATCATTCCATTCCATCTATCTATAAAAACCTCCCCTCATTTCCAAATATCTGCAACGGTCTAACCAAGATCAGCCAGTCTGACCCTCAACTGCGGGAGTGATGGGAGAAATTACAGGAGCAATTCAACGGCACTTATCTATAAACACCTGTTGGAAAAACAAAAATCAATTCTCCAAAGAAAAAAGGAAGAAAGAAATGGGGCCATCAACTCATTACCAAACCCATTGTCTCTGCAAAATGTCAGTTTGAAATCTTTCATGTCAAATTCAGAAAAACATTTTTCCTCCTCACTCTCTCCCTCTCTTTCTCTATTTTATCAAGCTAGCTGGAAAGAAACTTGATTTGCTCCAGGAAGACAATGGCCTTATCTTCAACCTAGATCCTCATGCCTGGGAAGGTGGCCTCCTCTGGGAGCATTTTCATAGTGGGGAAAAGCGGCTCGAGCGAAATAATGAGGAAGCAAAGGGAGTCTTGACTTGACACTGTGATAAATGAGGTGAAACTTTGGCAAGGAACCAGAGTTGGCGTATTCAAAAAGGAAATAAAAAGATAGTTCCATTTTAATGGGAAATATAAAACAGCCATTGTGCAAAAGTCGATTTTTCAAAGGCCAGAGAGATAAAGACTATCAGGGAATGACTGAGAGACCAGTAAGATAATGTGATTGATAATCAGGCTTAGGTAAAGTGGCATCCTCCGAGCCATCAGCTGGCTCTGTGGGAGTGCCTTTTCAAGTCGGCTATCTGCCTTTGCCCCTACGTCATTATCATATGCATCTCCGGAGGGCTTTCTTGCAGCTTCAGCTTGCCAACTTGCCATACTCCTGCCAGCTGGAGTGAGCAAACTCAACCCTACTTCTCTTAAATCCCAAACTTCTCTGTGTCAGCCACAGAGCTACCAACATCTTCCAAAGCCCCAAACAACAAACAGCTTGGGTCCAGCCTTACACACACCTGCTTTTCCCAATGGTCTGGTCTAGCGTGAGGTTTACCGCCATGGACAAGGCCGTACACTGCCCTTTCTCTCAGTGGGCAAGATCTGTGGACCTTCCCAAGGTTGTTCTTGGGTGATTCATAATTAACAGGCTGGATATGCAGTGGGAATGACTGGACCCCTTTGCCAAGGGCAAGTGTGAATTCTCTGAAGCATTGTGAGAGGCCCGCTGAAGAAGTTGAGAGTGTGCAATTTAGGGGTTATGCGGAGGTAAGCTGCTTAGTTCATAAGCTACCATCTGTGTGTGACCCTGGACAAGTTACTGAACCTCTTTTAGACTCGGGTTTCTAAGTTTCAAGTAGAGATAATAATACACTTCCTAGATTTTCAGGAGAATGAAATGGGATGGTTCATGTAAAATGCTTAGTACAGAGCCTGGTACATAGTAAAGACTCAGTAAATATTAACGGTTATGATGACTCTATAGAAATAACTTGGGAGCAGTTTGATGCTGTGACCGAAAGGGAGGTGACAAATTTCTTTGACTTGATTGAGCTGAAGAAATTTCTGAGAAATTTCATTCACAGAACCACCCAACAAGGCACCCAAGTGCCCCTGGATCTGACCCTGGGCAGATCTCGTATAGCAACTTGGAGGATTCCTAGACCCCAGTCATCTTCCTGTTGTTACAGGTGAGGAAACTGAGGCCCCGAGAACACAGTTGGCTTGTGTCCCAGGTCATGGTCAGCGAAAAGCCAGAACTTGACATCTTCTGCCCATTTCCGGTCACATGCTCTTGACCTTGCCAAATGCCAGTACTGGCTCACTGGGTCATAACAACCCCCCAAATGAAAATTCACAATGCCTGACCCCTTCTATATACCCTATCAGTGTCAGAAGCTGAAAAGACATAAGAAGCCTCTTTTAGGACCTAGAAATCTTTGGAAAACGGTGCTGTCAGTGAAATAAAATGGTGGCTTTTTAAGTCTAATGATTAGGGTTTCTTCTGTCCTGTTCCCACATCTGTAGATTGGACTCCTGACCAGTATGAGTACAGCCAAGAGGATTATAACCAGCAAGAGAATGCCAGCACTATCCCTGACAATTCTGACAACCCTGACTGGTACTACGAAGAGGATGGTGGGTACCAAAGCTGTTTGGGGGCCCTCCCGAAAGGATAGCAGCATACCTAGCGGGGAGTTTACCTATGACCATATGCAGCGGCTCTCCCCCTTCTCTCTGAATGGCATCATAAAATAGGTTTAGAAAAAAGTTATTTAGAGTGGCTTTTTTTTTTTTGCGGTTAGAATCATACACTGTGAAAACTGGGGAGGTTGTTAGAGACCATCTCTTCCACCCTCAAATGACAGGGGAAGCAAGTGAGGCCAAGAGAGGAGCTGACTTAGCCAAGATCACACGGCAAGTTAGTGCATCGTCATCCAGGTCTCCCGACCCTGTGGGTTAGAGTCATGTTCAAAGTCATTCCCAGAGCTTTCATGACATGCGGGTCCTAATTATGCAGAAGAAGTTCAGTTAGCATCAGGCATCAGACTGTAGCTAACGCACAGCTGGCGTCAGGACTTCCCTTTCACCTGCGCTGGGTTTTCCTTTCTCTTTTCACTCTTCGGAAGCTTTGCACGGTTGTTAGGTTGTGTGTGTGTGCATGTGTGTATTCCCACGTGTGCTTTGGCCACATTTGTTTTTGTTTCTGTGGCTTCTTAACCCACGCAAAGGGGCAGAAAGGAAAATGAGAAGCTGGGCCTAAGCACAGGCACGTGACTAAACCAGGAGAAGGAATGGGAAGCACTTAGCAGCTGGAATAAAAGCTGTGTAACTGCGAAGTGGCCTGGAAGGCAGGGCCAAGATCCGGGGCATCAGGGGAACATCAGAAGGGACCATCAAAACAAGAGCCAGGCCCAGGGATCCTAGTTCCTGAACCAAAGAACAATGTGTGTGAACAGAAGGATAAAGAATTCCCCAAGGGAAGATCCATTCAGACAACCATGAAAAGCCAAAGGCACAGATGAAATATGACAAAATCTAACTGAACAAGTAGTTGAAGAAAGATGAAGGCCACTGGGTCATTTCCTCCTCGCCGTCAATTCTTCTGTCCCCCTCTTGCCTTTGGTCTTCTTTCCTGATGTTCAGAAGGCTGGTGTTTCATTAGGGGTGGGTTTTCGTTCCCCACTCCTGACCTCCACCCCTGGGCACTGGGAGTAGGGGAGGTCTTCAGGCTTGTGAAATGCCTTCAGCATCAGAGACAGACCCTGTGGCACTCCCAGCGAGACTGGGAGGAGAGAGACAGTGATGACGGGAAAGGGGAGTTACTCCAGGAGAAAGGCCCCATCCAAAGCCAGGCCGAGGGAGACAGGCACGATTCCTTCTCGCCTCTCCTCTTACTAACCCGAATCCCTCCCTCTGCCCTTGTGATGGCAGTGTTCCTGGCTCTTTAAGGGCAAAGCATGTTTCCCCCTTTCCCTGATCACTGGCTCTGTAGTTCCTCTCTTATTGGGGGCAGGAGGCAGAAATCCAATGAGCGAAGGGGGGCGTCTCACCTGCTTTTCGTTGCAAACCTTGACTTCTGCCCATGTGCTTTAGACCCATGCCTGTCCAACCCCTGCACACGTGGTGGGGACTGCCTCATCCATGGGACCACCTTCACATGCCGCTGTCGGGACCCTTTCTCTGGAAACAGGTGTCAGAATGGTGAGTGTACCTTCACCAGATCCACTCTTTCCTCCAAGTTGAATAACAGGCATTTGTTCCTGCAGTTCTAGGGTGGTCATGAAGGCTCTCAGAGATCCCATGGAAAGGCTGAAAACCACACATATTATATTATGCATAAAGGATTCCTCAGCCTGGTCAAGGCAACATCTCCCTGAGTCCTCATCCCCACGTGTTAGATTGGACTAATATGTCCATTCCACAGATGAGAATACTGAGGAGATAAGAACTGGATCCTGACCAGGGCTTATTAGTATTGTTGTTTGGAGCGTTTAGACCAACTTCAACAGAAAAGTGTTCTCAAATAAGGGAGCAGGAAGGTGCTCAGGGCACATGAGGCCCAATCCTGTTTGAGAAGGGAGAGCAGAGTATACAGGGGACTTGTGCATGGTCACACATCTAGTTAGGAGAAGAGCAGGAATTAGAGATCTGGAGCCTGATTCCAGCTGGAGGCTCTCTCTTCCTGCCATCCCTCACTCATGGAGACTCTGATAAAAGCTGTGTCTGCCTTTAGTGACCTCTTGTGGGCATAGCATGAGGTGATAACGTATTGGGAATAGAATTCTTATGGGCCAATTATAATTCTCTTAGAGAGAACCTGGATTCTGTCCTATCTAGTGACCATATAGCTGGGGTGGGGGAGGCAGTGAGGGTTTTAAGGTTGACATCTTTTCTCTGTGCCCTTTTCAATTATTCCTGCCATTTTCTTGAAAAAGAAAATTCATGTATTTATTTGGTTGTGGTGGGTCTTAGATTGGGCATGTGCAATCTTTAGTTGTGGCATTCGAACTCTTAGTTGTAGCATGTGGGATCTAGTTCCCCACCCAGGAATTGAACCTAGGCCCTCTGCACTGGAAGCATGGAGTCTTAGCCCCTAGGCCACCAGGGAAGTCCCTCTTATCATTTTCAACCCTATAAAGTCTGAATAAATGCTTCAGGATGGTTTGGGACATCAGGCACAAACACAGCATCTGAGTTTATCCCTCCACTTCTTGGAAGAGTGACAAAATTGTAAATGGAACATAAAATCAGCTATAAAGTGGAGAAACTCAAATTGCAGATCCATTTGGATTTTTTGAAGGTTTAAAATTATCAAAGTGCTTATAAAGATAGAATAATGAAGGCTATGAGCACTAGGAACTCATAAGGAACTGGGAAGTAATCATCCATGACCCAAGGATAAGGGAAGTTTTCTGGGGAGGTGGGGGGTGGGGTGAGGGATGGGGGATGGGTAGCATGGTGTTTCAGGACCATGGACAAGGGCACATGCTCTACCAATCGCCATCACTACTTCCCCCAGGACCACCTCCTAAATATTGTACTGTGCAGGTACCTCTCAATGTAAAATGTGCCCCAAATAACATCCTGGACTTTGGCAAAACTTCTCTATTGATTTCCCACAGTGCAAAACAAGTGCAAAAACAACCCATGTGGCCGGGGAGACTGTCTCATTACTCAGAGTCCTCCTTACCACCGCTGTGCCTGCAAACACCCTTACAGGGGTTCAGACTGCTCCAGAGGTAAGTACTGGAAGCCTCTTCAACGCTAAGCTCTCTCTACCCAGACTTATGCCTGTGATGTCAGTATCCTACTGTGTGAAGTCCAGATACCAATCCAAAGTTTGGTGGCATTCAAGATGGCCCTTTTAACTAAGACTTTTTAATATTCATTATCCCTGGAGAGTCCAGGGGGAATTGACTAGTCTGTGTGCCTTCCTGAAAAAAATCATCTTGAAACGCACTTCTAGGAAGTAAGCCCTGGCCCATTCCTAGAATGAGTCGTGTATATTTATTCACTGCTGTGAGTCAGACATTGTCCCAGGAGATTTACATTCTCCCACAGACACTACAAGAAAGAGTTTTACAGATGAAGAAATTGAAGTTCAGTGAGGTTAGCTAACTTGTTCATGGTTACACAGCTATCAAGGGGCAGAGCTAAGTTTCAACCTCTCTCAGACTGGCCCCGAATTCCTGTTCAGTCCATGCATCTTGTTATTCCTTACTGAACAACCCATCTACTTATATATTCATTTTTACTGGCCTCCATCATATTGCTTCACCCACGTTTGTTTATGTTCAGAAGGTGTGTGTGTATGTTTACTAGCATGTCAGTGGGTCTCTCTTTCGCCTTTGGTGACCCATCTTCTGTGAAAGGATGGACACCAGAAAAGTGCCACCAGCATCTCCTCATCAGCTCAGATGTAGCTGCAACTCCTCCTAAAGAGTCTTCCTGGACCCACTCCCTGTGTTCACAGTGGTTCCCGTGTGCAGGCCAAATCCCTGCCAAAATGGTGGCACCTGCTCCCGGCAGAGGCGGAGGTCCAAGTTCACCTGTGCCTGTCCTGAACAGTTCAAGGGGAAACTCTGTGAAATAGGTATGGGTCTCTACCACCACTTCTCCAGAATCTCAGAACCACACAGGAGACCTCTGGAATCCTTTATCTGTTGGGGACTTGGCAGAACAGGATTCAAGTCAAGATTCCCAAGCGCTGCTACGCTGCTATTGCTTTAGCCTTCCAACCAAAGGGCATAGGGTGTGTTGCTCCATGTAAAGGATGTAATAAATGGGGATATATGTAGGCAAGTCAAATACACCTGGGCATCCTTGGTCCTCAATGCACCTACCTCAATGCACCTCAGTGCACCAGTTCTTGTTTGAGCCAAAATTAAAGAATTCAGTTCCCACCCCCACCCCCCCATCCCTATGATATTCTGTGTTTTTAAGCTGGGTTGAAGGTGGAACATTCTCAAACCACCTTATTTCTGGGACCTGTGGTGAAATCTCTGGGTGATCAATATTTAGGCCCAGTCCTCTCACCACCTGATATACCTGGCAAGTCCTTTCCGGGCCAGGCACGCCAGTTGGCCTCAGCCCTCACATCCCTGCCTGCTCTCTCTGAGGTCCTGATGACTGCTATGTTGGTGACGGCTACTCTTACCGAGGGAAAGTGAGTAAGACAGTCAACCAGCACTCCTGCCTTTACTGGAACTCCCACCTTCTCCTGCAGGAGAATTACAACATGTTTATGGAGGATGCTGAGGCCCATGGGATTGGGGAACACAACTTCTGCAGGTAAAACTTACTTTCCTCTCTCTGCTCAGTCTTGGCTACTTGTCAGGGTGACGATTTGTTTGTCCTTTCCCCTTGCTCCTAGTTTTCCTGAACCAGCTTAGAGATTTTGGAATGAACACTGAAACTCATCAGCTTACTATCAATAGGAAGATTTTCCAACTCAGTATAGGTTATGTTATGCTGCTGTAACAAACAACCCCAAACCCCAGATGCTTGAAAACATCAGTGTTTATTTCTCACACTGCGTGTTTCATGTAGGTTGGGGTGGGGGTATTCTTAACCCAACAAAGTTACTCAAATATCCAGGGAGGGCAAGGAGAGGCTGGAACATGAAGCATGAGATTTTTACTACCTCGAGCTAGAAGTGACACATCATTTTGGCACACCTATTTCATTGGCCAGAAATAGCCACATGGTCCCATATAAACTTCAAGGGAGAAATGGAACATCAAAAGAGAAAATGAAAGGTTTGGTGAGCTTTACAGTCTCTGCCACAAGGATGTGCAGGTTTTCCCAGATAAGAATAATGCTATTTCCATCCCTGGTGATGACTAGTTACCTTCATCCCCATCTGCTGCCTCCAGACCATTCTGTTGCCTTCCTCCCTCTGCTCATTGTCTAACCAAGGCCAAGGACATTCTATACGGTCTCCATATAGAAACAGGGATTTTGTGTATGGCTTTCAACTGGTTCCATTAAGCAGAAGGATTTCCCTTGCACAACACACAAGTGCCCTTCCACTTTCATTGACCTTGAGCTGTTCCTTCCATGGGATTGTCTTCAGGGTAGCCTCTCTCAGAGAATTCTCAAGCTCCGAATTTGAAACTTTGGTCAAAGAAACCCTTCTCTCACCCTGTTTCCATAGTTATTTCATGTTCCTAACAAAGAAGGATCTTCAATAGGGATCTCATTTATTTTCCTGCAAAAAAATTTGTGTCTTGTGGATCTGGCATAAAGCTTGTGAACTACTTCCTGGTTATTGAGATTCCCCTCCAGAAGTTAAGACTTGGTCCCAGAGCTATAACAACCCTTATATGCCAAGCTTTGCTAACCTGTTGGAGGAATGGAATAGAAGGTAGCCCTGGGTGCTGGGGGCAGAGGGTGCAAGAACTTGATATTCTTTTACCCAAAGGTCCTTTAATGAAGTCCAGTGGGTTCACCAAGCCCTGACTCCGGCTTACTTTNGGCATAAAGAATCCACCTGCAATGCAGGAGACCTGGCTTTGATCCCTGGGTTGGAAGATGGCAACCCACTCTAGAATTCTTGCCTGGAGAATTCCATGGACAGAGGATCTTGGTTGGCTATAGTCTGTGGGTCACAAACAGTCTGACAAACGGGGCAACTATCACTTTCAATCACTCCTCCAGAAAATCCTCCATGATCTACCAAGTGAAGTGTTATCTCTCACTCCTTTCAAACCTCATGAAATAGGTTGGGCACCACCCATACAACTCTCATTGCTCTTTCCTTTGGTTGACAATTATCTGTGCAAATGTCTCATCTACCCAACTCATCCCCTGGAGGAGGAAATGGCAACCCACTCTAGTGTACTTGCCTGGAAAATCCCATGGACAGAGGAACTTGGTGGGCCACAGTCCATGGAGTTGGACACAACTTAGCAACTAAACCACCGGAGATGGATTTCTATAATGATACTTATTTGCACATGTTTTATTAAAATACTATTGCTATACAGTGTTATGTAAGTTACAGGTGTGTACTAGAAGGATTCACAATTTTTAAATGTTGTACTATATTTATAGTCATTATAAAATATGGACTATATTCCTCCTGTTGTACAACAAAATAAACGCCCTGTAGTTTATTTTATACCTAATAGTTTGTGCCTTTTAATCCCTTACCCCTGTCTTGCCTCTCCTCCCTCTGTCTCCCCACTGCTAAGCACTAGTTCATACTCTAATAGAGTCTGCTTCTTTTTTGTTACAGTCTCTATTTGTTATATTTTTTAGATTCCATATATAAATCATATACATTTTTATGTGTTTGTATACATATCAAAATAAGAAGGAAAAAGCAATGTCTTCATCATTAATTCTATAGACTTGCTTTGTGTTAATCAATGTGCTCAACAATTTTTTAAGGGTATGTATAAGCATGCAGACTTTTTTTTTTCCCACTATACTGAGTGGACTTGTAGGATCTTCCGTCCTCCACCAGGGATTGAATCTGGGCCTTTAGCAGTGAAAGCACAGAGTCTTAACCACTGGACCATCAGGGAATTCTGCCGACAAATGTTAATGCACATGCACCCATCCTGTATGCACCAGTACAGTCTCTTAGCTCTGGACACTAGCTCAGCTTCTAAGGCAGAGCCATACCTCTGATAAGGTCCTCCTGAGAACCTAGAGGGAGGGTGGAAGTGTGGTTTATTTCTCTTGTGTTTCACAGACGTTGCCAACCCAGAGGGAAGACCCGCGGAGCCCTTGACCAAGTTTCCTGAGTTTGGGTCCTGTGGGAGAACTGAGATAGCAGAGAGGAAGGTCAAGAGGATCTTTGGAGGCTTTAAGAGCACGGCGGGCAAGCACCCGTGGCAGGCGTCCCTGCAGACCTCGCTACGACTGACCGTCTCCATGCCCCAGGGCCACTACTGTGGGGGGGCACTGATCCACCCGTGCTGGGTGCTGACTGCCGCCCACTGCACTGAGTAAGCGCCTGCTGGGAGCAGAGGCCAGGGTGGCCAGAATCCGCAGCGGGTGCTGTCCCGTTCCCATCTGATCAGCATCTTGACAACTCTGGCCGGACTAGGGAGTCTGATCTAGCTCCAAGGGCAAAAGCATGTCTCCTTAAAACCAGACAACAGAAGAAAGCTCCTGTGTGTAGAATGCTTACCACATGCATTACATGTGTTATAACAGTCAAGTCTCAAAAAAAATAATAAAATAAAAAATTAAAAATTAAAAATTAAAAAAAAAAAAAACAATCAAGCCTCAAAACTGACGGCTGAATGACCAGCAGGAGAGCTCTGTGAGCCAGACCATGATTACAGATGAGGATACTACGGGGCGAGAAGTCAAGTCATCTGTCAAAGGTCACACAGCTCACGGGTGTGGCTCCAGCCTCTCAAATTCCAAGACTAGTTCCTGATCATCATACTTTCCCCTTACAGGATAAAAACCAAATATCTAAAAGTGGTGCTTGGAGACCAGGACCTGAAGAAGACGGAATTCCATGAGCAGAGTTTTGGGGTACAGAAGATATTCAAATACAGCCACTATATTGAAATAGATGACATTCCCTACAATGATATTGGCAAGTCTCTTCTATCATGGCTTTCCTGTTTCTCTTGTCCTGGGATGGATTTCTCTACTGACAGAAAGTTGAGGCTTGGTTCTGGAAGGTGATCTAAGCAGGTCTTTCATAGACCCTGTGAGGTAAAGCATTTCTTCCAGGGCGTTTTAGTTTTGAAAGGTCTGTGTTAGTATTGCAGATAAATGTGCACAAACTTTTAAACTGAGGGCTGGAACATCCGATGCAAAGAACGGTGTGCTGCGCAGAGCTCAGTCTTGAATCCCTACTCCCCCACTTACTAACCGGTTTCACCCTTCTAAGTCTCAGTTCCCTCTTCTGTGAAATGGGACACTGATGTCCAACTGTTCACTTCCTGTGTGCTAAGTGACATGATGTACATGTGTCCCAGGTACATCTGGCACCTGGTAGGCAACGATGTACTTAAGCTTCTTGCTCCTTAGTTCTGTATCTTATTTCTTCCTTCACACACTTCTCACTCTCCCTCTTCAACACTGTGCACACGTGCTAAGTCGCTTCAGTCGTGTCTGACTCTGTGCGACCCTTTGGACGGCAGCCTACTAGGCTCTTCTGTCCCCAACGTCTTTTCCCCCCTTAAAGTCTGTTTTTCTAAAATGGTATTCGAAATGATTTCAAACTCAGTTATTATTTCTTAGTATTACTCTCAGCCTGAAGTGTTATGACTCCTCCCCAGGTGAAGGTTAAAAGCATGAAATGATAACTGAAGAATTTGGGGTATCGGGAGTGGGGTTTTCCTATGACCGCCTTCCAATCAAGCTAAAGCTGATGTTTCTTTGACAGAGAGGGTTTCATCACCCATTTCCCCTCTCTCTCCCTAGCCTTGCTCAAGCTAAAGCCAGTGGATGGTCATTGTGCCCTGGAATCCAAATATGTGAAAACTGTCTGTTTGCCCGATGGTCCCTTTCCCTCTGGGACTGAGTGCCACATCTCTGGCTGGGGTGTCACAGAAACAGGTGAGTTTGGTCATGCATTCTTCTGAGACTCAGGTGATTTACATCCACCAAGCAAGAAAGGGTCACATTCAACTGCCCTCCTGGACTAGAAATCAGAGTTATATTCAAAATGACTTATCAAAAGAAAAAGATTGCCCCAGCTTTCTGTGTATGTACTCAGTCATGTTTGACTCTTTGCAACCCCATGGACTGTAGCCTGCCAGGCTTCTCTGTCTGTGGGATTTTCCAGGCAAGAACACTGGAGTGGGTTGCCATTTCCTACTCCAGGGGATCTTCCTGGCCATCTCTCTAGCTCTAGTTAAATTTCATCACCTTCACAGTCTCCTCTGATCTCCATACCTGTCCTTGGCCCTAGCCCCTAGCTCCTTGACTTTCACCAAGCATTGATCTTGTATCCATGGAGAATTTCCTCCTTCCCTAGGTAGATAAAGTACTGACAAGATTATGTTGTTATTGTTCAGGCCCTAAGTCGTGTCCAACTCTTTGTGACCCCATGGACTGCAGCATGCCAGGCTTCCCTGTCCTTCACTATATCCCAGAGTTTGTTCACGCTCATGTCCGTTGAGTAGGTGATGCTATCTAATCATCTCATCCTCTGCTGCCCTCTTTTCCTTTTGCCTTCCTTCTTTCCCAGCATCAGAGTCTTTTCCAATGAGTTGGCTATTCCCATCAGGTGGCCAAAGTATTGGAACTTCAGCTTCGGCATCAGTCCTTCCAATGTATGTGCCCTGTAATACGGAAATTCAGAAGTAGTATCTTAAGTGTCTCTCAAATTCTCAAAATAGATTTCTCTCCCTTCCAATCTTGTTCTTAATAATGGAAAGCAAGGATCATTTCAAGTAGGCTTCTCTCCCTGTCTCCTAGAAACACCCCCACAGCCTGAACTTGGGGCTGGGGGCCTCTTCCGACCACTGCTGACTTCTGGTGGGGCAGGTTCCACCCTGGTCTCAGCAGTGGCAAGGTCTTTTCTCTGCCCATCAGGAGAAGGGTCCCGCCAGCTCCTGGATGCCAAGGTCAAGCTGATCAGCAACACGATGTGCAACTCCCGCCACCTCTATGACCACTCGATCGACGACAACATGATTTGTGCAGGAAACCTCCAGAAGCCTGGACAAGATTCCTGCCAGGTCAGAGATTCCACGTGGCATTTGGAGAAAGCAGGGCCTTACACGGGGGAACAGAGGGCCCTTAGAGCCCCGGGCAGGGGGGAGGGGCAGAGACCCACTTGCCATTCAGTCAAGGTGGGCACATCTATCCTCTGGCAAACCTGAATCCACACCAGACCAGGAGGGCTCAGCATCAATACCATAGCAGTCACTTTGCTCACTGTTGTTGAATTTGATTCTGACCAGTCTGGTGAAGGATGTCACTATCACCATTGTACAGATGCTTAGAGAAATTATCTGGTCCACAGCTCCTGGGTGGAAAGTGCAGAGCAAGAATTTGTTCCTCTGTGTTAAAATGTGAAGAGGGTGTTTCTGCCCTCAGTGCTGGGCAGCTTGTCTGAAAATCCCAATAAGCAGGGGACATTTGCAAAGACCAGTGGTTAGAAAGAGAAAGATGAGGAGAGGGGCCAGAGAATTCACAATATTGAGTCACCATTAGGATTTAAATGTGTGTGTGTGAAGGGGGAAGGAAATTTAGCCCTAATACACTAATTGGCTGAGTGGCTCCTCTGTGGCCAGAGCCAATTTAGATCCTGCCTGACACCCACTACGACAGGACTTTGGGGGACAAGATGGGCACATTCAAACCTGAGTTCCTCCCTATAAAGGAACTCAACAATGATCTGCAACCTTGAGCCTGCTTTGGGATGGGAAATCATGGTCACTCTCAGGGTCTGTGGCTTTCCTGTGACCCTCTGCCCTTTCCCAAGGAGCCACAGGTATCTACCTACTTAAAGGAAGGGTGTGGGCAGATGGGAGGGATTTTCCCTGAGTCCCTAGAAGATGGATAAGGAAACAGATTGCAGGATTTTAAAAAGACAGCCAAAGGTTTGAAACCTGCTTCTGTCCTTTATTTTGTGAACTTTATCAGTCACTGAATGGCTTAGTCAGCTTGGGCTTCTATATAAGTGACTGCAGATTGGGTGGCTAAACAGCAGACATTTATTTCTCACAGTCCTGGAGGCTGGAAGACTGAGATCAGGGTGTCGGCACGGTTCCAGTGAGGACCCTCTCTGACTGCCAACTTCTCATCGTGTCCTCATGTGGCAGAGGAGAGAGAGAGAGAGAGAGAAAGAGAGAGAGAGAGAGAGCTCTCTAGGTCCCTTCTGCATTTGTGCTTAGTCGCTCTGTTGTGGCCGACTCTTTGCGACCCCAAGGACTGTAGCCCACCAGGCTCTTCTGTCCATGGGATTTCTCAATCAAGAATACTGGAGTGGGTTACCATTTCCTTCTCCAGGGGATCTTCCTGACCCAAGGGTCAAATCTGGGTTTCCTGCATTGCAAGTAAACTCTGTACCAACTGAGCCACAAGGTTTCAACAAGGGCTCTAATCCTGTACATGGTCCCCACCCTCCCAACCTAATTACCTCCCCAAAGCCCTACCTTCTAATAAAACATTAGGCTTTAACACAGGATTTTGAGCAGGGCAGGGAGGACACAAATGTTCAATCTGCTGCCCTCAAATACTTAGCCAACCTCAGGTGTCTAATCTATAAAATGGAACTAGGGTATCCATAAAACTGGGAGATTGTGGCTAAGAGTGAAAGAAATAATTCATTAAATATCCTACCAGGTGTGTAAGCAGGAGCAGATATGTGTGCGTGTGTGTGTGTGAGCTATTGTTCTCATTCCTGCCTCCCCACCATCCTCCTCCTCTCCACTCTAACTGGGGGTTTAATGTGAACCACGCACTGTCCCATAAGCCTTAAAAGCCTTAGTCCTCACAAGAAACCTCGGGTGGGTTCTGTTGCCACCTGTGGTTTACAGTGTGAGAAATGGAGGCCCCAGAGGCCAGCAGATGGACAGCCCCACAGCCCACGCTGAACATCATGGCCATGCTGCCTCTGAACCCCATCCTTCCTGACCAGTGTGTGCCCTGTGGGCCCTGGAAGGTGCTCTGTCCAAACAGGGCATCCCTCCAGCCCCTGCTAGATCCCAGGATGGAATGAGAAGTTGAGAGCTCCTTAGTAATACCTGCATGATGGAGCCATGGTGGGTTAGGAAGTCAGGGTGTGACCTGGGCCCAGCCCGGTGGCTTCCCTGCCAAGGCCTCTCTGACTTAGGACGCAGGTTGGTATCTGCTTCTCTCCCTTCAGAGCACTGCATCGTATGAGGCACAGGAAGAACCTTGTTGCCACTTTCCCCAGGGTTGGCCAATGGTCCCACCCCCAACCCCTAGCATCCCCTCTGGGCCCAGCCCGGTGGCTTCCCTGCCAAGGCCTCTCTGACTTAGGACGCAGGTTGGTATCTGCTTCTCTCCCTTCAGAGCACTGCATCGTTTGAGGCACAGGAAGAACCTTGTTGCCACTTTCCCCAGGGTTGGCCAATGGTCCCACCCCCAACCCCTAGCATCCCCTCATGGAAGGCAGGGCTGTCTCTGAGTGTATACTGAGCCACAAAGTGGACTCCTGCATCTTTTCCCATAGGGCGACTCTGGAGGCCCTCTGACCTGTGAGAAGGACGGCACCTCCTACATCTACGGGATCGTGAGCTGGGGCCTGGAGTGTGGCAAGAAGCCAGGGGTCTACACCCAAGTGACCAAATTCCTAACGTGGATCAAAGCCACCATGGAGAAGGAGGCTAGCTTCTGAGGTATCTTCTGAGGCTCACAGCCCGTCCTGTGAACACCCAGACGAGGCGAGGCCCCGTGGGCAGCAATGGATGCCCCCTGGAGCCTCTGAGTATCCAAGCTCTAAGCAGAGACCACTGCTGCCCAGCCCAGGGCACCCGGGACCAGCATGGCCCCCACTTCCTCAGGCTCCCTCCTGGGAAACCCAGAAATGACAGAATCAACCTGAAGTGCAAGACGTTTGCTTCCCTTCCAACAACCGTAGCTTCTAGAAAATCAGTGTTCACAGCCTGCCTTCACCGGGGACATTGGCAAGTGTGAGCTTCCAGACGGCTCAGCGTCGGTGGGGGTCACCTTTACGTCTTTATTCCTCAGACACTCAAGGTGCACAAGAGGGCCAGCCGCCCACTGCTAGGTGTTAGACGAGGACCAAAACACAACTTTCTCCACCCTTTTTCAGGGAGTTGTTATTTTAATAAAGGAGGACTAGGGCAGGGGCGCCATTTTCACAGTTGGCTCCAACTGAAGCCATGTCTCCGGCGTGCAGATTTCCTCTCCAGCTTCTCTCCCAAGAGCCAAGGGTGGATGCCGCCCACTCAGAACGGGGGGGCCTTCCTCCTTTTGACGTGCAGAATCTCGGTGGCATCTGGGTTTACAACCCCCCTCTGATCATCTCCGGTCTCCACAGCCTCCGGCACCCCCTGCAGAAACCAAACACATCTCCCTGAGTGAAGCGGAAGCTCCCACAAGACAAGCTGTCTAAAAAGCTCGCCTTCTCCTTCCTTTGCCCCTCCTCCATCCTCCCCAAGAAAAAGGAACCTCAAGGCAAGACAGAGAAAGAAGCAGAGCCCATCTCTCATTTAGACGGGGCACCTTTCTTCTGAACAAAGTAGGGTTCAAAACCCAGACTGTGGTAGATAGCGCGGCTCTGACCCCTTCCGCGCCTGTAACGAGCAAGCAGTCGGCACAGCCTGGCCCGCGTGGCCAGGATTGATGTAGCCCCGGCACGCTCGCCTCCAAAGAGCTAATGGCTGTGACTTCAGAGAAAACCCCGCAGGAAGTTTAACCCAGGTGTCATCCGCCTGGTCATCTCAGACCCATGAAATTAGGCGCCTTGCCTGAGCTGCATTGCACGCGTCTTTAGAGCCAGCTAACCTTTGGCCAAAAATAAAGTTTGAAAAGAAACAATTGAGCTCGCCTTTCCCCCTGCCGTGGCCTTGCCTGCCAGCCCGCTACTTACATAAGCCCCTCGGAGACCCAGGCCCCTCGCGTTGGCCAGTTCTGCAGCCCGCCGAGCCATTTCCACTTTGTAGGAGCCAGGAGGTGTCCAGCCAATACCTCTGGTCAGGTTCAAGTCAGATTTGTACTTGACCTTGGGAGAACGAGGGAGGCAAGGGGAATAGGTCAGCAGGGCATAGAGTGGAGAGGCTTAGAAAGGCTGCCCTGGGGACTATGTTGTTAGTGAAACCAGGATGTGGGAGCCAAGCTGTCTTACGCAGGAGCTCCTTGGCACTGAGGATGTACTGTGCTGGGAGTCAGGCCAGCATAGCACTGTCCCCTGCATCTCTCTACTCAAGGGAGCTGCAGTGGGGGTGGAGGCTCAGAGATCTGGTTCAAGGCCGAGCTCCTATCTAGACCTGCTCTGTAACCTTAAGGAAGTCATTTCCCATTCAGGGGCTTCAGTTGCCTCTCAGAGATAAAGGGCCCAGGCTGCTGACTACTAAGATCCCTTGGAAAGAGTGTGTATGTGCTAAGTCACTTCAGTCGTGTCTGACTCTTTGCCGGACTCTAGCCCATCAGACTTCTCTGTCCATGGGATTTCCCAGGCAAGAATACTAGAGTGGGTTGCCACGCCCTCCTCCAGGGAAGCTTCCTGACCCAGGGATCAAACCCGTGTCTCTCACATCTCCTGCACAAGCAAGCGGGTTCTTTATGACTCTAGCCCATCAGACTTCTCTGTCCATGGGATTTCCCAGGCAAGAATACTAGAGTGGGTTGCCACGCCCTCCTCCAGGGAAGCTTCCTGACCCAGGGATCGAACCCGTGTCTCTCACATCTCCTGCACAGGCAAGCGGGTTCTTTACCCCTAGCGCCACCTGGAAAGCCCTGGAAAGAGTAAGGCACAGCAGTCAAGACCTTGGGCTCTCACATTAAGCCATATGGGGTTCAGATCCCAGCCCTGCTACTGAGCCATGGGATCCTGAGTCAGTGACTTCACCGCTCGAAGCCTCTGGTTCCTCATCTGTAAACCGGCTGGTTGTGAGAGCCTCGAGGGACAACATGGAAAGCATTTGGCACAGAGCCTGGCCCACAGGAAGGGCTCTCTACACTGGGGTTCTTGTCCTTTCTTCTGGCTCTATCATGTTAGGTCTCCTAGGTTCTATCTCAGCCCAGCTCCTCCCTGAGGGTAACATGGGATGTGGGATTAGGGACACCTCCGATGAAGGGAACCAGAGGCAAGGCCTAGGCCTGGGGGGCGGGGGGCAGAGCAGCTCACATCGCTCTGCAGCCGGTGAGCCTTCTGCGCGTGTTTCAGGCCCAGCTGCTCCGGGTCGCAGGTGGGCTGGGGCAGGGGCTGCCTGTAGTGCACGTCGCTGGCCAGCTGCTGGCTCCTCTTGGCCTGGAGGAAGCCGGGCTGGTCTGGGCGGCTGTGGAACTGGGACCGACTCTTGGCGAAGTCCTTCTTGTACTCGTTGTCACTCTGGAGTCTGCCGACGCTGAGGAAGTGCTTCATCCTTGGGTCGTCGTGGATGCTGCGGTACCCAATCTGCAGGCCCCGGTCCCGCAGGAAGGCCTCTTTGTACCGGAACTGCAGGGAAGAGGAGCAGTGGGGGGTGGGGGGTGGTCACAGGTGCCCCCCTTCCCTCCAGAGCCAGCCCTCGGGATCCTCAGTAGGATGTGCAACAGTGGGTCAAGGGTACCACTTTGGATTCAAGTAGGCCTGGGATCCGGGTTTCCCTCTGTTTCCTTTAGCTGTGTGGCCTTGGGTCTCCCTGAGCTTTGGTTTCACCACTTGATAAAATGGGTGCATGAACCTCCACCCCACAGGATCTTGAGAGGATTCAGCGAGACGGGGCTGAGCTTCATGTCCGGCACAGGCTCACGTCCACCCAGTGGTAGGTGCCGGTATTGCTTTGGTAACAATCCAACAGCCAAGAAGTGCACCCATTCTATCAGCAGCCACTCATCCTTTGATTCTTTCCAGCTTTCAGGGACCCAACCCAGAGCTCCTCAAACCATGTATAGTGAAAAACGGGATTGATTCACTTTGTTTTGCTTTTTAAAATTTCCAATCCATCAAAGTCCGGTATGTGGTCCTTCTGCCTGTGACTGCATGTGCGCTCGGTCGCTCAGTCGTGTCTGACTCTGTGTGACCCCATGGACTGTAGCCGCCAGGCTCCTCTGTCCATGGGGTTCCCCAGGCAAAAATACTGGAGTGGGTTGTCATGCCCGCCTCCAGGGGATCTTCCCCACTCAGGGATCGATTCGCATCTCTTATGTCTCCTGCATTGGCACTTGGGTTCTTTACCACTAGCACTACCTGGGAAGCCTGTGATTAGTATGTAAAAGTACCAGGTGCATTTGATAAACCCAAACTGGCCTCTATTCTGCTCAGCCAGAGGAGTCCACCCATCTCAGGCTTGGAGATCAGAACATCTAATTGCTAAAAGTGTTGCTGAATGCTTGGTTTCTATACTTGTTTCACTTTGAACCAATGACAAATTGTTCATGAAGGACCACGTATCTAGTTAGTAATGTCTTCCTATCAAGTTAATGATGTCTTCCTCTTCGATAATACCAGCTACCATGTTTTGTCCCCCTCCTTTGTACATGACACTGTGAACCATTTTGGTTACATTCCTACATCAATCCTGAGCTTCCCCGGTAGCTCAGCTGGTAGAGAATCCACCTGCAATGCATGAGACCCGGTTCTATCCCTGGGTTGGGAAGATCCCCTGGAAAAGGGATAGGCTACTCACTCCAGTATTCTGGCCTGGACAATTCCATGGGCTGTATAGTTCATGGGGTGGCAAACAGTTGGACAGACCGAGTGACTTTTACTTTCTCTACATCAATCCTGTCATCAGTAGAGTCAAGTACTAGATCTCTATTTCATAGAAGCAGAAATTTTAGTTCAGAGGATTTAAACAACTTGCTCATGACCACAGAGCCAACTCCTAACCAACTGAGGCAGGATCTGAACTCAAGTCAATCTAGGAGGGAAACCCAATCTCTTTCTGTCCCGTTGTGCACTTCAGCTTTCAAAAAAAGTCCCTTTATTGAAGGTCAACAAATCAGTCCTCTGCTAACTGATTTCTAGCTTCTGTCCAAATGCATCAACATTTAAGAATGGCTCTCTCGAAGGAGGGGAAGTAGGAATAAAACCTTTCCCAATTCCAAATTTCTGACTGAGATGCTAGAAAACAAGGCCAACTTTTATTCCTTTCACTTGAAATACTTTTTCAGCTTTGGTTCCCAGTGGTTTGCCTTTCAACAGAACTGGGAAAACCAGAGTGCAGCCTATCAGTGACAGAGGCAGGGAGAGAACGTGAGGTCTTACGTCACTGGCGATCTCCCTCGATGCCCGTGCTGTCTGGAATGGGATGGCATCCAGCCTGAAGTCGTAGCCGCCAGCCCGGGTCTGCTCCCAGGAGTGTCTGTAGACTTTCTAGTTGGGGAAACAAAGAAATGAGTGAGGGACGAGCGGGCAGCTCCATGCCTCCATGCCTGCTAGTTCTCAGAGGGAGTAATTCCTATACAGGTACCCTCTGTCTTGCTGGCGCCCAAATGGCTGAGCCCATAGCCCCACAGCCACCCTGAGGACCTCCCCAGCTCTGACCATGAAGGGCTTTGGCTCTAAACCCCCAGCCTGAGCATCGGGCCCTGCTCTTGTAGGTCGCAGGGGTCTGGCTTTTTTGTTACATCCTGTGGGTACCAGATGCCCCTGTCCCCCTTCTTCCTGTCTTTGCTTTCACTCCAGCACCTCAAGTTTGCAGCTTCCAGCTGCCAGAATGCAAAGTTAAAGAACCCTGTTTCTCCCCACACGCTGCCAGTTTTATTCCTTGGGTCCTTACATCAATCCTGTCATCAGTAGAGTCAAGTACTAGATCTCTATTTCATAGAAGCAGAAATTTTAGTTCAGAGGATTTAAACAACTTGCTCATGACCACAGAGCCAACTCCTAACCAACTGAGGCAGGATCTGAACTCAAGTCAATCTAGGAGGGAAACCCAATCTCTTTCTGTCCCGTTGTGCACTTCAGCTTTCAAAAAAAGTCCCTTTATTGAAGGTCAACAAATCAGTCCTCTGCTAACTGATTTCTAGCTTCTGTCCAAATGCATCAACATTTAAGAATGGCTCTCTCGAAGGAGGGGAAGTAGGAATAAAACCTTTCCCAATTCCAAATTTCTGACTGAGATGCTAGAAAACAAGGCCAACTTTTATTCCTTTCACTTGAAATACTTTTTCAGCTTTGGTTCCCAGTGGTTTGCCTTTCAACAGAACTGGGAAAACCAGAGTGCAGCCTATCAGTGACAGAGGCAGGGAGAGAACGTGAGGTCTTACGTCACTGGCGATCTCCCTCGATGCCCGTGCTGTCTGGAATGGGATGGCATCCAGCCTGAAGTCATAGCCGCCAGCCCGGGTCTGCTCCCAGGAGTGTCTGTAGACTTTCTAGTTGGGGAAACAAAGAAATGAGTGAGGGACGAGCGGGCAGCTCCATGCCTCCATGCCTGCTAGTTCTCAGAGGGAGTAATTCCTATACAGGTACCCTCTGTCTTGCTGGCGCCCAAATGGCTGAGCCCATAGCCCCACAGCCACCCTGAGGACCTCCCCAGCTCTGGCCATGAAGGGCTTTGGCTCTAAACCCCCAGCCTGAGCATCGGGCCCTGCTCTTGTGGGTCGCAGGGGTCTGGCTTTTTTGTTACATCCTGTGGGTACCAGATGCCCCTGTCCCCCTTCTTCCTGTCTTTGCTTTCACTCCAGCACCTCAAGTTTGCAGCTTCCAGCTGCCAGAATGCAAAGTTAAAGAACCCTGTTTCTCCCCACACGCTGCCAGTTTTATTCCTTGGGTCCCGGCCCCCTCAGGTTCATGGGCTCCACTCACTTCCTGGGGGACCCTGGGCCATCTTTGATGCCACGTCACAGCATCCCTGTGAAGCGTGCTGCAGCCCCCACGCCCTCCTGGTGTCTGTACCGAGAGGAGAGCCTTCACCTGAATTAAATTGATCGTCAGGAACCTGACCGAGTTCCTGACCCCTGCATTTCACATCGTCCTCTTTTATTTCTCCCCCTTTCAAGTTGTTCTTGCACACCCTCCGGGAGTCTGTAATCACATCCTCTTAGTCCTCAGGTAGACCCACATCACCTATGGAGGCATCAAAACCGCCTGTGCCTTCATGTAGCTCATATTTTTTTTTTCAAGATAAGGGAATGGCTCCATGAAAGGAGTCATCTGGAGATCCCAGCGGAAGGCTGTCCTTTATTCTGTCACAGAGAAGGGAGACAGCAGGCGAGGCGCATCGCCAGCAGATGACAAAGTGACAGCCCCAGACCGTTTCGGTCGCTCACGCATCTCAGAGCCACGGCAGGTCAGGGGGCCCTTAAGAACCTTACTTTTGTCACTTGGAAATAGAGGTCAAGGCTGAGACTCTGTTCTACAGGGGATTGGGGGGATTAAGCGGAGGAAGAGTGGCAGAGAAAAAAGCAGAGTGCCCTCATGCCTCCCCACAACCGAGCCTGGGACTAGAGCGGACCACGGAAAGCTTGAGCCAAGCGTGGTGGAGCTCATTGTTAAGTCCTGCTGCTCATCATCACCTTTACCTTCATCACTTCTTCCAGTCCCAACATCACAAACCAGAAGCCAAATGCCTACTCTGTTGATGCACCTAGAAATACAGAACTAATCATCGCTAAGGTCATCGCCTCATTGGCAGATCACAAACAGTGCCCAAAGGATTAGATTTCCTGGGTCGTTGTTGAGTTTAGCGGGCAGGACTGAGAGGTTATGTAGAAGGGGAGGTGGAATTCAGATCATGACAGACAACTAGCCCCCTCTAGCATTGCGTTTCCTTGTTTTGAGAGTCCTACAAATATTAGACCAGGAAGGAGAGTCAAAACCCTTATTGTCCCCTGGAAAGGGGTCTGTCAGCGCCTTCCTAAGAAGATTCCCCACCAGATCTGGGCCAGGAAATGACACCAATCTTTTCACAGCATCAAACTCCAAGGTCACCCTGCTTTGGCGTCAAGGCACCCCAGCCTCAGAGTCTCTGTAACTGGGGGTCAACTCAAGTCTAAGTAGGTGCATGTGCTCCGTCCTGTCTGCCTCTTTGCAACCCCATGGACTGGAGCCCACCAGGCTCCTCTGTCCATGAGATTCTCCAGGCAAGAATACTAGAGTGGGTTGCCATATCCTCCTCCAGGGGATCGTCCCAACCCAGGGATTGAACCCGCCCCCGTCTCTTACGTCTTATGCATTGGCAGGCAGATTCTTTCCCACTGCATCACATGGGAGTCAACTCAAGGGCAGGCCCAAATTGGGGTTCTGCCCGAGGCGCCGGCTCCCCGTCTCCCCGCCCCACCTCTCCCTGTAAACTATTTGCTTGATTGTCATCGCTTCCTCCCTGAGTTTTTTTTTTTTTTTTTTTATTCTGTTGAGGTTTTTGCCTTGCCACTGGGAGTCTTTAGATTCCGCAGGCTCTTTGATTTGGAACCCTGGGCGTTCCTCTTCTTTATCACAGTGGGCACAGCTTTGCCCTCATCCTCACACATTAGAGTCATTTGATTTTTAGTTATTTCGGCTGCCTTACACATCTCAATGGCTTTCTTTACCCAGGAAGGTCACTTTCCCTCCACATCTTCCTCACAGAGCACTTGATCCAATTGTGCGTATCCTACACGCCCCCGAAGAAGTGCTCTTTCAAAAGAGGTTCATGAGTCCTCCATACCCGCGTGCCCTGGCAGCTAATTTCAGCTCTGGGACTCTGCAGACTGGCTCCCCTTGTGGAAGGAAGGATGCCTCTGCCACCAGCCCGGGGTGGCTGTCCTTAAGTCGGGTCCCCGCAGGATGGGCACTTTATCCCAGCGTCCAGGTGATGGGCCTCCAGGAGTCCCTCACGTGGAGGCCTGGCCTTTCCCCATCCTTGAAGCATTAATGAGATGGATGTTTTGTCCGAGCTCTGCTGAGGGGGAGGTCCCGCTTCCCCAGATGGAGGTCAGCCCACCAGAGCTGCTGTTCTAAAATTATCGCCCGCGCATCCCTCAAAAGCATCAAATGGTCATAATAAGTCATATTTACAAAGCACCAGCACATTCACCGCGTGGGACCCCACAGGGCTTTACAAATGCAACAAACTAATACACACGCTAACTAGAAGGCGCCTCTCGCCGACCCCTGCGAGGCGGCTACCTCTGGGGTGAGCAGCAGCAGCTGTTGATCTGCACGGAGCCCCAGGACACAATGGCAGGGCCAGGGCGGGAAGAATGGCCGGACTCTAGGAGGCCCCGCGCGGCCCCAGGCCGACACACTCAGCCTGTGTTATTCTGATCTGACAGCGTCTTTTGATTCTGCCGCCTCGGTACCTGTTATCCCAGGATCACAGCTTTGCCGGCAGAGCGGCCGCCTATTCTATTACAACCAGGGGCCTCCGACCCCTGCCAACAACAAGCCCGGGCTGAGGAAACAGCATCTTGGAGATGCATGCAAAGGGCACACATCCAAGGGAACAGACGTGTCGGGGGCCACAGCCTCAGGCACAAAGGAGCAGATTGTGTTGGGATCCCAGGGACTACAATTGCAGTGTCTTTCTACCCAGCAGAAAGCAGAGAAAGCGCCACTCGGGCTCCAAACTTACAAGGCTCTGAATGGCTAAGGACAGGAGTCCGGGGAACAAGCAGAGCAGGTGTCTACACCCGTGGGGCCAGGGCACCGCTCCTCTAGCTGGAGCCCAGCACCTGACTGAGGTCTTTGGAGCCACGCCCAGCACTGGGATGCTAGCGCTGGCAGGACCACAGGAGTCGGCTAGCGCAGCTCCATCCCCATTTTGCAGCTGGGGAGACTGAGGCCCAGCGAGAAAAGTGGCTCAAAGCTATACATGCCATTTATCCTACTCTCAGTCTAGAGTGCTTTCTGTTCGCAGCTCCTTTCCTAGGAATTCTTTTTCTTAAAAAGAAAAAAATAATCCCATTTGGGCACAGATCATATTACAGAAATGGGCAAACACCACATGAACGGCCAGTTCACTTACGTCACTCAGATGCAGGGCGTTGAGGCGGGCTCTGGTGAAATCGGGGTGGTCGGGCACCAGGGTGTACCTGTGTCGGGATTCAGCATCCCCCAACCTGTACAGGCGCTGCAGGGAGAAGGCTCATGGTAAATGGGAAACCGCACTTGCTGCAGTCAAAAGTGAAGAGGAGGCTGATGCCCTTTCCTGGCCCTCCCACCCCAGGGTACAGAAGCCATCATGCACTTGGAAGGCATCCCTCCAGACGCCACCCGGGAAAGGAGGTGCCCGAGTGGCCAGGGTCAGGTGGTGGGGAGCTGGTTTTGAGTATTTAAAATATTCATCAAGTTTTGCGCCAAAAGCGTCACAAACCATCACCCTGGGTCACTGTACCTGTGTTTCACAAAGAGTAAAAATGGGTGGATACTTCAGGGGATCTTGGCAATCAGGCATTTGCTCAAGCTTTTTACTAGTAACAAAATGCCTCAATGCCTTTGTTACTAAACATTAATAGTAATAATAAAAAGACATAGCAGCTAAAAAACCTTAAACGCCTTAATATCTCTTAAGAAGTTTAAAGTTTTCATAGTCCACCCTGTGTCCCAAGAAGACACAATTTTAGAACTCGAGCTTTCTCTTAATGGCTATTTTTAGGGCAGCGATCTAAGGACTGCAAATAATTTTAGGAGGTTGCTTGAGTCTCATCCAGTTTTAAAGAGGAAATAGAATATTTAACATCCCAACCCTTTCCCAAATTCAGTTTGTGTTTTGCAAACACGAACTGGTCAGTATCGCACGTGGACTTGTGAGCATGGGGCAGCTTTGTCAGTGTGCAAAAATCCAATCCCTGGATGATTCCAGAGAAGAAAATATGTAATTTCCTATTCTTCAAAATTAATACAGGAGAGAGGAAATGGGGCTAAACTATACAGAGAGTAAAAGTAGAAAGATGTTCTTTATATAGCTACTTTTTCTTTTTTCTAATTGGCTTATGTTAAGATTTAATTCCATTATCATCTATGGACAATTATGATATATGTGACCTAGTGTTTGGTAATGTCCATCAATAATATTTTGTATTACTATTGTGATGATTAAGAGTCTAACTAGGGACATTTACTGAGGACTTACTATATTCTAAATAATTGCTAAAAGCTTCATGAAGTTTTATTTACTTCATCCTCATTTAATTCACTCCATCTTATGAAATGGTTGCTATCTTTATCTTTCTTTCAAACAAGGGAACCATGACTAGAAGACATTAGAAAACTGACCCAAGATCACCCAGGTAAGGGACAGAAGGTTTGTGCTTACATCTTAAGCACTGACCACTGTGAAGCACTACCCACTATTAAGCCTGGGATGAGTGAGCAGAAAACACCCACCTCATTGCAATGCATGTAGCTGTTCTTGGCATGAACTAGGTCCGGGGAGTCAACCACTGTGGTAAACTTGATGGTGTCTGGTTTTTTACGGTATTTGGTCTGTTAAGAGAAAGGCCAAGATTCTCAAGAAACAGTCAAACACCATGCATTTTTCTGGGTGCAGCATCACCCTACCTACTCAGCACCAAAAGTACCAATGACATGCATGGGAAAGAAATCTCTCTTCTTTGTGGCCACCTCACCAGCACACAGAAGAGATTCAAGCTGCCTCTGTGATAAGGACTATTTTACAGGTATTTACATTCTTGAAAAGAGAGGCTGCAAAATGCCAAAGCTCATCACAAGATAAGGAATTCACTCGATGGAAGGATTCAGCCTTAAGTCGGCCCTGCCCAGACCCTATTCAAGTAGGTTCTGGTATTAAGGAACTAAAGAAGGCAGTGCCATGCTCTCAAGGAGTTCCCAGGGCAAGAATCTCTGGGTCATCAACATGGTGGGGAGTTCAGTTAAGGTAACCATCTCTGGGCAACTTTTAACACCCTCCGAAGTCAGGTAACCCTAGGACATTGAACTGAGTAAACTCAGGAGACGGGTGGCAAACCCTCTCCTCACCTCCATGAAGATAATGGGTCAGGTTAGATCATAATTGTACATAATACATTTGTTGGTCATCGTCTAATGCATCACCCCTCTTTCACTGCCTGACTGGAACAGCCTTTAACTCCCCAGCAAGTGAATTCACTGGGAGCCAAATCTTGTTCCGTCTTGGGATTTGGCTGCAAATAGCCCCAGAAAGATATGGGGAGTCCAGCGCCGTGGGGCCCTCCCAGGCTCTCCAGTCCATGTGCAGGTTCCCTCGTCAGGAGGAGATAAACGCCAGGTTGCATTTGTGGCAGACTCGGGTCAATGATACCTCACTGATGAGCTCTCCGGCTTTCTTTGCACTTTCCATCTGTGGGGAACTCAGCGCCAGCCATCCTATACCCTTCATGCCCATCACGTCCGACTTGTAGCGCAACTGTGGGAAGAAGAAAACACTGGCTTTTATCAGGAAACGGCTGCAAATCATTGGGGCATCCGTAAAAATGCTTCATCACAACATTTCAATATTTCATTTGGGTGCGTTCTGCATGTCATCAAGGCAAACTATTTGAGTTTGTGCATTCCGCCCAGAATTAAGTAACAGATCATGTGTAAGACACAAGAAGGTCCCACTTGTAAACTGGCTGGATTCCAAGCAGAAGGTTGTGACCTATGGGAATGATCCCTTAAGAAAGATCTGAGATATACACCCCAGCCCACACGTCAGCCTTGATTATTTGGTTTCATTCTGGCAGGCGATTGACCTCCTGCCTAAACAGAAACGTTTTACACACTTTCAGGGGATCAAAGGGCTTTGAGCTCTGGATCAAACCTGCTGTGACTCAGGGCAAATCACTGTACCAAAATGTGACTCAGTTTCTCTCTATGATACCCGAAGGTCATGACAATCCCTCTGTTCTCATGAAAACACCTGAGAGTCCTGAGGGGTAAAAGACACTCTCGTGTGTTAGATTTGTTTTTTTCTTTGCAGTGGTGGGGGAGGGGGAGTTCTTTGCAGGACTCAAAACTGCAACAAACCTGGCTACAACTGGGGAATGGTGTGTAAACTGCCTTAATATTTCCATGCCTCAGTTTACCCCTCCTCCTATGGTTACTCAGGATTTGCCTACATTGCACAGTGGGCTTAAACTTTATCCATTTTCCTCCTCTTAAGGACTCCGAAGATCAAAACTACAGCATCAATTCCAGGAAGAAAATAGTAAGTGGGGTTTTAAGACAATGGGCCTGATTAGGAATCTCCTGAAATGTTTAACCTTATTACCATTCCTTGATCTGCCCACCATTACCTACATCGAGACAGTCTCTGAAAAAGCTTTTCTTCCTCTCCATATGGAAATTACTCATTTTTAAAGGAAGAAAAAGGACTCTCTAAGGAAATGTGAAATTTGGACCTAAACGAAGTTGCTGGCATTTCTCTAATTTAGATACAAGCTCTGCGGTAACGCAAAATACCCACTCCTGAAATCAGCCTTTCGGCCTTTTTAGTTTTCTTTCATTTCAGGAATCACAGTGCTCCTCACAGCTGGCCTCAAAGAGCGTCCGTTTCTGATCTACTGTCTGCTGGTTAAGGCCCCTGTGCAAATTCCACTCTGCTTTCCAACTGGTGAAGGGGGACATCACTCGGGTTTGGGAGCACGTTTCAAAACCCCATGTCAGTGAAATTGCTTTTTATACCGCGATCTTTCAGTCTACACCAGCAAAGCTTTTGCCTTCCACTCTGATAAAGAACAGAGAAAATTGGATAAATTTCTAAGTTAGAGAGAATAATCCTACAGGGCCTCTTCACAGCCGGGCCTTGCTCCTTTCATAAGTGAGATGAAGTGGGGGCGCATGCTTTCAACTTGCCTTTTGTTGAGCTGAACAGTGCGAGCACAGGTGAGTCAGAAGGCAAGACGCAGGTTCCCCAAAGATCTGACTGCGCCTCCGACTCTCTTATAAATGGATTGTCTATTGATATTTCTGCTCCCAGCCCCGCTTTGACTATTCACGCAGACCCTAAAAACAACATGCCTGCCCCAGACCTCACCATAAAAGGGGAGGGGGAGCGAAGAGCAAGGAGAGTATCGAGGAGAATTGGCCCAAAGATGGTTTCCAAGAAGGATTCTAAGATAAGAGATCTTCTTGGGCTGCCCAGCTATATCTCGCTTCCCCAAGTGGCCACCTCACTATTTGCCCTTGTACATATGAAGGCCTGGACGCCACCTTCAGAGTCACACGTGGGGTTCCTGGCACCCCCATTCTGGAGACGCACAAGCTGTAGTTTTCACCCCTTGAGCTCTAAAAGGAATTACATAACCAGGAGGTGCACCCAGGAGGTGCCAGGGGAAGGGGTATATTTGTCATATCAATAATAAGAATCACTATAACAACTATCCTGCAAAGGGTGTGGTTTGCTTCAGACTCATTTGGGGCTTCCGTAGTGGCTCAGAGGGTAAAGCATCTGCCCACAATGCGGGAGACCCGGGTTCGATCCCTGGGTCGGGAAGATCCCCTGGAGAAGGAAATGGCAACCCACTCCAGTATTCTGGCCTAGAAAATTCCATGGACTGAGGAGACTGGTAGGCNCATTGGAGAAGGAACCGGCAGCCCACTCCAGTGTTCTTGCCCGGAGAATCCCAGGGACGGCGGAGCCTGGTGGGCTGCCGGCTATGGGGTCGCACAGAGTCGGACACGACTGAAGCGACTTAGCAGCAGCAGCGAGAGGTGACTAAACTAGCACCCCTGGTGGTGGAGCACAGCCTGGGCGGAGCACGCGTCTCAGATGCATCCCTGAGGTAAGCGTGACTTTCCCAAGACGTCAGCAGTCCCAGCCTTGAGGACCCTCCCTCCAAGGGTGAGTACTGAGACCCACAGCTTGCTTTCTGGCCTGGATGGGAGAGGTCAGGATGGCTATGGGAGGTCAGGACTGATGGCTATGGGAGCTACTGTTCCCACCCCAAACTCTGCTGAACTGCAGTGAGCTCATAAGGAGTCTTTGTTTCCTTTTCGCTAGAACGTAACAACATGGAATTGGATTTTCAGTGATGACGGCAAGAAAAAAAGCCTCCAAACCAGATGGACATTCTGGGGGTCTGCTGTTCACAGGATCTTGGGGTCCAAGACCACCCAGTTTAACAAACCTGAAGTTTCAAAACAACGCATGAAGCCCAACATGGTCATTCTTAAATCAGGCAATAATTTCTCAGCACAAAACATATTTCATTTGGTAAAGTGTAAGTCTATGATTGCCAACAAGCGTTTCTTGGGAAGGACTACCTTTTTTGTTGTTGTTGTTGTTCTTATTTGTGTGTGTGTGTGTGTGTGTGTTAAAATATCCTTTCTTTTCAGAAGTAACGGTGATATAAATGGTAGTTTGAGGTAAGAGTTGGTTTTTGGTCTTTTTCCTTATTGAGTAAACTAGTATGATACTATGATGATGTCAACATTTAAAAAAACATTTATCTATGAATCCTGAAATCTGAGATCACCAATAAATCCAACATCTTTGCTCTTCCAGTAGAAGCATGAAGGCCTAGAAAGCCAAGTGGCTGCTGAAGGATGAAGCTGGGCTTCTAACTGGGCCCCCAACCTCCCCACAGTGGCCAGTCCCATCCCAGGAGGTTTATCTTCTCCCTCGAAGAGGCCACCAACAGGAGGGTCCTGGACTGGGCACTGAGTCACACTAAGAGCCTCTTCGTAGGGACCTCAGGGTGGCCTGCTAGTAAGTAGAAGGCTTTCTAAGTGGGTCCTGCGCTGTGTTTCAGCAAACGCATGCCCTGCTCCACGCTCCCCTGACTGGTGCCCACTCGGTACTACAGTCCCAGAAAATCTTGATTCATAATCAGACCATCATGGCATTCATTAAACCATTACATCATTGTTGTCATAATTAATCATCAACTGGGTATTTTCAACACTCTGCCTGTGCCATCTAACTAAGCTAGGAGCAGTCACTGCCCTGAAGGCCTCCAGAATCAGAAGGCTTGGTGGAAAACATAATCCTCACGGCTCACCCCCTCTGGCATGTTCCTATGGACCATGCACGGTCTGTGCTCGGCGCGGTGCATCATACAGACAGTCCTCAACTGGGAACAGACTTCTCAGTCGGGTACAGTTTTGTCCCCCCAGGTGCATTTGGCAATATATGGAGACGTTTTTGACTGTCACATTGAGGGGGGTGCTAATGGCATCTCGAGGGTAGAGGCCAGGGATGCAGCAATGCACAAGACAGGCCCACACAACAAAGCATCCAGCCCCAAGTGTCAAAGGTGCCCAAGTCTGGAAACCCCGATAAGGATGATGAGGGTTCATGGGACTATAGTCTCATGAGATCTGCTCTAAAATCTCACGAGAGAACCTTCTTCCCAGGGGAGCTGTGGAGCTGGGGGAGATGATACACATAAGCAAACATGGTTCAGAGCCTGCTATGGGCATGTGGCCTGGAAGTGCTGACTGTGACCACATTTTCATCACTACTCTGGCCCTTCTGAGGGCGCCGAGACATGGAGTGGCCTGGGACTGACTTCAGAGGCACTGAGTCCGGAGACTTCCACTAAGGGTGGGACTTAATGCCCCCGCGTGGGCCAGGACGTCCCCTCTCTGGGGCCTAAGCATCCACACCTGCATCATAGAAGTATGACTCCCTTGCTCCAGGAGGGTGGCATGGTTGAAAGTGTGGCTTCTGGAGCCAGGCCTGCCTCAGCCCCTCCCACGTGACCTCATCTGTGCAACAGGAGGAGCAAGGCCCTCACCCCCAAGTGCTGGAGCGAGGGTGCCATACTGGTGAGCAGTCAGGGAACGACAGCTCTGGGCACAACTCTCCACTTGGCCTCACGGACACCCCCAGCACACAGTCGGGCCCTGGGTCTCTTTCTCGGACCCATCCCATCCCCTGGGACATCCTCCTCACTCACGCACTCAGGCACTCGCTTCAGTTCAGTCCCAGACATGCTGAGGCTGCTGCCGCCCAGGGTCTTTACTCAAATGTCACCTCTGCAAAGAGAGTGGCCGTTTTTGTTGTTGTTCAGTCGCTAAGTTGTGTCCGACTCTTTGTGGTCCCATGGACGGCAGCACGCCAGTGCTATCCTTGTCCCTGTCTCTGTACTCCACTATCTCCTAGAGTTTGGACAAAGTTCATATCCATTAAATCGGCGATGCCATTAACCATCTCATCCTCCTTGGACTGCAAGGAGATCAAGTCAGTCCATCCTAAAGGAAAACAACCCTGAATATTCACTGGAAGGACTGATGCTAAAGGAGAAGCTCCAATACTTAGGCCACCTGATGGGAAGAGCTGACTCATAGGAAAAGACCCTGATGCTGGGAAAGATCGAAGGCAGGAGGAGAAGGGGGTGACAGAGGATGAGAATGATCCTGTCCCCCAATTTTTTACATTGCACACATATGTTTACCTGGCCTTCCCTGCTGGCTTAGATGGTAAAGAATCTGCCTGCAACAGGGGAGACCCAAGAGTGATCCCTGAGTTAGGAAGATGCCCTGGAGAAGGGCATGGCAACCTACTCCAGTATTCTTGCCCAGAGAATTCCCACGGACAGAGGAGCCTGGTGGGCCACAGTCTATGGAATCGCAAAGAGTCAGACGTGACTGAGCTAACACTCACACTTTGACACACACCCCACTTCCCTGCTCTGTCTGTCTCCCTCTGACATACCACACAGCTCACTCCTGCCGTATCTCCCTCCCACAGACTGGAAGCTCCCTGACACCAGGAACTTTGGGACTCTTGTGCTGACTGCTATATTCTCAGGGCCTTGAGGGATGCCTGTGACATAGTAGGTGCTCAATAAATATCTGTTAACTGAATAATTCCAACCTAGATGATGCAGACCAAGCAAGTCATTGGTGAGGGGCGGGGGCTGGTGAAGGGATCTGAAAGGCTAAGCAAGAGGCCGAGGTTACCCCCAGGCCTGGTGGGAGGAAGACGATCGGGGAGATGTGTGATCCGCAGACCCCCTACCTCACTCTGCAGCTCATGAGCCTTCTTAGCCCAGGCCATCTTCAAGTCCTCGGGCAGCGCCGTGAACGCGTGGCAGCGCGTCCTGTAGTCGAGGTCACTGGCCAGGGCCTGGGCCTTCCTGGCGTGGACCAGCGGCAGCATGTCCATGGGCAGGTGGCACTGGGCGCTGCTGCCCGCCGCCTGCCTCCTGTACTGAAGCTCGCTCTGCAGCTGGCCCATCCGCTGGCAGTGCTGGAGCCGGGGGTCGTCACTCACGCTCTGGGCCCCGATCAGCCGTCCTCGCTCCTTCACAAAGTCATGTCTGTAGAGAAACTGGAAGGGGAACCAGGCGGTCAGGGGTCGGCGTGTGGTCCCCTGATGTTCTATCTGTGCCTGTTCCTCGCGGTCACTAAGAAGATCACCTGTTCTTACACGAGACGGGGATGAGGATAAGAAATGGCACAGCGAGGCTGGCCTGAGAGCCTGCCTCCCCCACCCCGGGGGAGGGACAATTAAAACACTGCTCCCTTCCTCCCATCTAATTAAAACCAGATCCTTAGAACCAGAGCGAGGGCCCGCTCCCCTTACGAGTTCTATGGCCAAAAGGAATTTATCAAAAAGGGTGGAAGAGAAACTTGTGCTTTATCCCCTCACACTTGGCAAAACATCAAACCCAAAAGACAGGATCCATTTATTTGAAGTCTACATTTTCTGTGATTTGTTTGTGGGAAAGAGAAAGTCACCTTCATGTCCCAAAGCTATGGACACTATGAGGATAGTGGCTGAAACACAGCTGCAAACCCTACCGCCAATGCGGGAAGCTACAGAGAGTCAAGAGGGGACTGTGCTATGGCCACATTACAATTTCTACTGCAAATTCTTTCTAATTCTGGGTGGAGTTGGAAAACAGACAGTTCACACATTACGGAGAGATGGTTGCCTAGATGCTACAATTAGAAATAAATTGTAATCTCCTTTCTGCTGGAGATCTTTGCCTGCATTTAGCTTCTGATTACCAGGGCCTTTCTTTCCCTCTCTCATCAAAGAATCTCATTCATAACTAATATATTCCACGGATGACATGCTGTCTCACATGGCAAAAGATCTGCTTTAATTCAGGGAAATCAGCCATAGACATTGTTTTACATGAAGTTAACAGAAATTAGGCAGAATGGAAGGTCGTATCATTCAACTCACATCACTGGCTATGTCTCCAGAGACTCGAGCTGCCTGGAAGGGCAGAGCATCTATTGTCAGCTTGTAGCCTTGAGCACGGAGATTCCTCCAAGACTCCTTGTATTTTGCCTATGGTAGGAACACATGTATATCTTCTTAAGAAAAAAAATTACATGACCCCATGAACAAAGGCTACCCACTTCATTTGTGGTGTGGTGTTGCAGAACGGATTTCTGACAATCAAAAGCTTTCGATTTGCAAAGAAAATCTTATTAGCACCCTCCCAGAAGTGGGCTCTGACACATATATATCAACACATCTGGGAAAAGGTGTTTAACATGCACATCGAGAAGATACATGGTTGAAAGTTTCTGCAAATGCCAGCAGGGTCACTGCTATGTCCCATCACAGACATAGACTTGACCTTGGAGAACATCTCAGCCTCAGCGATGGGAAAGGCTTACGTCACTCAGATTGGCCGCGTTTGTTTTCGCTCGGACAAACTCAGGCAGACCCAGGGTCATGGTGTACTGGTGTCTCACATCTTCTCCTGCTGCTTTATAGAGGCGCTGGGCAGAAGGGGAAAAAAACAAGAAGGTAAGCGCTGTGCATTTCTGCAGGACTGGAGGTCCCTCCTTTGCAACTGGGAAATACGTTTGTAAAAGGCCGTTCACTGTGTCATGGACACGCCCTCAGCCTGGGGAAGATATTTCTTTCAATAAAGGTAATCTTTCATGGGATTTCCCTGGAGGTCCAGTGTTTACGACTTCACCTTCCAATGCAGAGGGTGTGGGTTCAATCCCTGGTTGGGGAGCTAGGATCCTGTGCGCCTCATGGCCAAAAAACCAAAAACATAAATTTTTTAAAAAGCAAGTAATATTATAAGAAATCCAAAAAAGATTTAAAATTGTCCACATCAAAATTAAAAAAAAAAAACTTGAAGGAAAGATAGTCCTTCATGAGTCAAATTGAGTGCTATGAAAGGAATACGTAAAAAAATTTCAAGTTGGTTGTGACGGGGTTCAGGACATGTTACCCCCAAATAGGGTACCTGAGTATAGTGCATATTTTAAGAAGGAATCTGGAAGTAGCAGGAAATGGAAAACCTCTCTCTGACCTTCCCCCCTAAAGCAGGTCACATGCCTCCTGGGGGAGCTGCCCTCCCTCTGGTGGAGGGGGAAAGGGGCATCTGATCTCTGAACCCCGAGGAACCCGAGAGGCATCTGAACAAACTCAGTGTCCCCTAGTTTCCTACTCTCAGCTTATCCCCTTTTGTTCTATGACACCTGCCCACGATCTTACATTCTTCATCAAACCTGGAATAAAAACGCTCAGGTTTAACGGTTCTTCCTGATCTCCATTTCCTTACGAAGACTCCTGCATCCCCTAAAGTTCATATTAAATAAATGTATATGCTTTTCCCTTGTTCATCTGTCTTTTGTTACAGAACCCCAGCCGAGAACTCAAGGTGAGTCAAAGAAAACATATTTTTCCCTGCCCTCTACTTTGCTCAATAATGGGGACGGGCAGGGCGGGGGGAAACACCTTTAGGAATATCATTACAGATCTTTCCATTGTAGATTTTTTTTTTTTTTTTTTGCTGAGGACACGGTGTAAAGACAATATTAATATCTGGGAAATTTAGGAGCCGTTCTGCTGGTTGGAAAGGAGGTTCCCAAACCCCGGTCTGCATCCTTCACTAAAGTCCCAGGATCCTCCCATGGGCAAACACACCAGTGCTCCCGTGCAGGGCCTCAGCCGGTATGAAAACACATGTTCTTGTAATTAGAAATGGCCTGCGGTTGCCGAGTTCTCCGAGGCCAGAGGCCACTGAAGGAGGCATTACTATCCCACAATACCCCGATCACAAAGCAGGCAAGATCGGTTCGGTGGGACTCTTAAATCAATAACATCGCTACACAGCCCTTTGGGTCTTCTTAGCTCAATCTTGGGGTAAGTGTGGAAACTAATATATAAATACCCAAATCTCAACTGACTTTTAAAAGCTAGGGTCGGAAGGAGAATCTGAAAAACTCATTTCATTCTCTGCCAAGCTCACTTGCTATTTCAAACATGTCAGAGAGCCACTCCGAAGAGGTAGAGCTGGAACGATGATTTGACGGAGTTAAGAGTCTCTCCCCTGGGCCCCCTCTGCTCGAATATTACAGTGAGAATTGGGCAAGTGGTGAGCGAGAAGACGGGAAGGCAGAGAACCAAGAAGCCTGGCAGACTTCACACTGTATCAATCACCGTCCCCGGACAATCACAAATCCTCCCCATTACCATCGTCGGAATGACAATGGAAGAAGCGTTAGCCAATATCTGCCCAGCTAGAACAGACAAATGACAGACCAGCACTTCTCAAACTTTCATGTGCAAAGCAAAGCCGTGAGGGTCTTAAATGACCTTGTGGATTCGATGGCTCTTGGGTGGGACCTGAGGTTCGGCATTTCTAACAAGCTCCCAGGGGATGCTGAGGCTGTCAATCTGTAAATGCATTTGGGGTTGGGGTGGCAGGGCGGGGCAAGACCACAGACTAAACCAGATTTTCAACTGGGCCTTCTTTCCTTCTGGAAACCATTTAGGCTTCATCTAATGATATTCCTTTCTTTCCATGCAAACACGCATGCTTTCCCCTGCTCCCCACCTCCCCCACCCCACAAATATTCATATTCTTTTTTTAAAAAAACAAACAATCCAGCAGTTTTTTAAAAAGCCCATCCTGAAGTCATCCAAAGGTTTTACCTCGTTTGTAATCTGGCTGCTGAGCTTTGCATGAGTGAGGCTGGGTGTGTCTGTCACGGCTGTGTACTTGAGCGACTGGGGATGCTGACGATATTTACTCTGAAGTTACACACAGGAGGGAATAGGAGGACAAGGTGAGATGCAAAACCAGAGGAAGAATAAGCTCTTTAAGCACTAGTTATAAAACCTCATTTTGCAAAGGTTGCCAGTCTGCGACCCAGAATCCAGTCCATCNGGGGGGGGGGGGGGGGCGGTGTGTGGCAGGGAGAGCTTGTCTTATTTCCAACTCAGGCCCATTACTTGCCAATCTCCCGGCAATGGAAATGTAGCAAGCTGGGGGATAAGATGAGCACCAAAAAGGATGCTGCTGCCTGTTGGGAAGATACATCGGTAAGTGAGGAAATTCTTCAACACTTCCCAATGCTCCCAGGCCTGGCTGCTTAAGAAAATGGGCAGCATGAGCTAGAAACACACTTGGGGGGACTGTGAAGGCCTCGGGAGATTACTTGGGAGGGCCCAGGGATGGTCTCTGGGGCCCTGATTCCCCTGCACTCTGTCTCACTGGCTCAATGGACATGAGTCTGAGCAAACTCCGGGAGATGGTGAAGGACAGGGAAGTCTGGCGTGCTGCAGTCCATGGGGTCACAGAGTCGGACATGACTGAGCGACTGAACAAGAACCGCCTGACACTCTTCTCTGCCTGAATTGGGTTAGTTCCAAAGGGGCTCTGAGCACCTCTCTGGGCAGACCTCAGGCCTCTTTAGAAGACGGATGACCCAGGAACATATGAGGCTCCTAGAGGAACCCCCAGCCCAAACTGGGCCAGAGACAACACCACTGAACATGCTAAACTGTGAGCCTCAAAGGCATCTTCCTTGAACTCCCTCTAAATCTCAGCACCCCCTTTCTCATTTATAGTTTTGTGATCTCACATGAGCTATTTAACGTCTTTGAGACTCACTATAGTTTCTCTGCAAATTGGGGATAAAAACTATCAGGTTATTTTGAGTATTAAAAGAGACAATGCTTATAAACGCAACACCTAGAATTCAGCAGAAATACTCAATAAATTGGAGAAGGAAATGGCAACCCACTCCAGTATTCTTGCCTGGAGAATTCCATGGATAGAGGAGCCTGGCAGTCTCCACAGGGGAAAGTTAAGTTCATGGGGTGACAAAGTCAGACACAACTGAGCAACCAAACACACACTTAATACACTCAATAAATTGTTGCTGTTATTAATAGATTTATGTGACTGGGCTTATGAAGAGCAAGGCAGGAACAACGCGGGCAGTGCTTCAAAAGAAATCCCAGGTATAGGATTCTTCATCTCTGGAGCCCCCACTGAGCCAACAGGAGCTTGTGGGTCACTGCCTCACGGTCAAATTTAAGAGGAAAAGAGCCAAAGAGAGAGGCAGGTCCCCTCACCTCACTCTGCAACTTGTGAGCTCTCTTGGCACAGCTGAGCCTCAGGTCCTCGGCCAAGGACGTGTGCTGGGGGAGCGGGTGTCTGTAGTCCTGGTGGCTGGCCAGGGTCTGAGCCTTCCTGGCATGCACCAGGGTTACCATGTCCAGCGGCAGATGGAACTGCGCCTTTGAGTGTTCAAAGTCTTTCTTGTAATTCACCTAGATGGGCAGACAGATCAACAGTTATTTCAAAGCCGCCGTTTACATCAGGGCCACGAGGGAGAACAACGTGCTGCGACTGTCCCAGGTGAGCCCCGAGGGGTGTTCTTGGCAGGCCCAGTCCTCCTTTCTTATGGGGACTGGCTTAATAAGCAGGACTCATCTCTAGGTCCTGCCACTCGCCACTCTCAGCTCTTTGCGGTCATTGATGGGGACCCAGGCTCAGGGCTCCCCCACTTGGAGAAAATACAGAAGTTCAAGGGGCAGATAAAATCTCAGTGGTTCCCTAGTTCAAGTCGAGATCGTCTTGCTTTCGAAAAGCAAGAGGAGGCATGGCTGAGCTGCCTCCTGCTCCCCAGCACTTCTTATCACCCTCACAAGTTCAGACTGAGACACCAGGGTTTCTCCCCGTATGCTAGCTAATGGACAGCGTCTTCAAACTTAGACAATGACATCCTAGTACATCTGGGAACTGGGAGCAGCAGGCAGATGCTTGAAAAGCCAGTTCTGAGGGAGGAGTTCCCAAGAGCCCAACATGCATCCTGTAGCAGGAAGGGGTTGGCCCATTTGCAGACCTCAAGCTCCACCCCAGTCCTCGGAGGAGCTGTTTGAAGGTCCTCGAAGCTCACTCTGGGCTTTCTGAGGAGTCAGATGCATAATCGCCATCTCTTCTTCCTCCAGTCTTCTCATTGCCCTCCAAGCTCCGCCCACACTCCTTCCTAACCACACACCCCCACTTCTGCTCATCCTCCCCCAACCGCTAGTAAAAAGCCAC